TGTACAGTCAACCCCCATTAAACCACCCCCCAATAAACCGCCACCCTCTGTTACCGCCAACTTTTCCTCCCAAACAAATCTCCCTAATTGTAAAGCCTAAGGAGACCCCCGTTAAACCGCCAACCGCCATCCGCCAACTTTTTTTAAAGAACAAACTGGATATTTGCATTGTTTTTTACCCCAATAAACCACCAATATTCTTTTCCTCTGTCCAAGGCAATTGAATTTTAGAATCTTATCCAAGGTGGCATGGCCAGAAAAAAAATCACAATTCATTATTCAGGAATGAGCACTCATTGAACAAATTTGTAGATAGAAAAAGTTGTAAATTTTAGAATACAAGTAACATTGTGGTTGAAAATTTTAAATATAATTTCATTTTATGAATTTCCTGGTGAGACAGAACAGATGGACTTTGTGCAGTTGAACATACGGTTTTTATTAAGGAAGGTCGGAAAGTAACGGGGTACGAGGGGAGGTGGAGTTATAAACACATGTCTCAAAGTAAGTTCTCTTTAACCTTTTTACCTTTTGAGTAGGTGGGGAGGTTATATTAATCAAATCAATTTAAATTAACCTGCCCCCAAATAATCCAAATTTAAGTACAGTAACCCATCCTGACTAACTTTGTAAAAATTTCTCTTTAAACTCGACATACAATTTTTGTTTTGCTGTGTCTTAATATGCATACAATGGGAGAGCTCCCAAGAAGCAAAGAATGACCTGGCAGGTGGAGAAGGGTGGGCATTGGAACTTTTTTTTTTTTCAACAGGGGCACCCTCCCTTGATAAACCGCCAACCCCGTTAAACAGCCAAAATTCTGCTGCACAAACTTTGGCGGTTTAAGGGGGTTTGACTGTAATTCATTTTCTCGACTAATTTATTCAATATATTAATTGTGGATGTGTTGACATCTCTGGAGTCAAACTTGATCATATTCAAGAGCTAGTACAGTCATTCTGCTTCCTGAACTACAGTTTCTTCTTTAAATCAACGAAGAACAAGAAACCGTGAGACCCCATGACCAGGACATTCATATTTCACTATTGTCAAATATATCGAAAACGACCTCGTAGAGAATAAAACATTGGTCCTTCACGTTCTGGTTACCGACCATCATACAAAAATCCTATGCTGCTGTACCCATCAGGGCTGGATTAACGTGGGTGCTATTGATGCTGCAGCATTAGGCCCACCAGGCAAATAGGCCCCTTGAGAATTTGATTTTTTTTTTTGAATTCCCCAGCTTGGGGAATTTCAAATTCCCAAGCTAGGGAACTACAACTTTTTAAAATTATGAAAATTCAGAAAAGCAGAAAAGATGCAAAAGTGTTCATGATTTAAAAAATCAGGAAACAATAAATATTAAGGTTGTGTGACGTATATATTTTTAGAAACTCCTCCTTTGGTCTAGTTCCTGTATTTTTAGTCAAGTCTCGTGTGTTAGTAAGGACGTAATTTTTTCCTTTAGTTCTAGTTACCGGTCTTTGTCCAAGATGCATGGCCAAGGAATCATGGGCAGGAAAAAATTCAAACAAAGATTTCAATTCCACTCATGGCAGGATAAAATTTTCAATCCTTTCCCCACTTCAAAAGAATTTGGTGGCCTCAAAATTTTTCTGAAGTGATTTCTTGCTGGGGTTTAAAATATCGTACTTTTTATTTCTGAAACATCAGTGATTTATCAACACTTATGATGTAAAAAAATAAATTTTTCCAACCCTGCATTCCCTGCTATGACTCATTAGACCAACAACCCTCCCTCTTATAAGACATTGTTGCTCAGGGTTCTGTAAATCCAAGTGTCCCTGTTTTGCAGGGGAGATGTTTTTTTTTACCACTGAACACCCCTGCCCCTAAAAAAATTTTTTCTACCTTGCATCCTGGGAAACAGGCAGATCTAACCCCCACCCCCTTTGCAATTTTATACTGTACACTGAGCCATGGGGATCTTGTCTGATCCATATTTTCTACCATGACTTCCAATAGCAGGAGTCTGGCAATCCACAGTCTTGATATCCATTTTCTATTTTGTCCATATAGCTCTATATAGTCTATATGAAAATGTTCAAGGCAATCAGGAGATTTCCAAGTTTCTGAATAGCATTTTTCTTGACTTTTTGTGAAGCCTTTCATTGCATTCTAATGTGAACACAAACTTTTTTAATAATGTCACCAAGAAACTTCAAAAGATTTCTGAATCTTTTGCAAAATTTTGGGCAGGAGGTCTTATTTTATAAATTGAAAAGTAGGTGAGATCCCAAGGAAGTCTTTTCGTTTAAAAAAAATAAATTTCACGAGTAGGACCCGTGTTGTAAACATTTTTATAGTGTTTCAATAAGCCATACATGTATTTAAATTCTGTGAATTTTTGAATAAATGGAATAAGTGGATGACATTTTGACATGCAATCCAAGTTATAGTTGAAATTGTGATGAGAAATTTCTGTTTCACAAAGCAGACACATACTGAACTTCTTCATCATTAATTTATTTTATCATGTACATCTTTTGTGCCATGAGTGGAAAAACTAATATTGTTGTGCCCTCTTAACCAAACACTTCAAATTAAATTTCAATTGTACTTGGTTTTATGTTGGAGCATATATACATATGGAGCAGCCATATAGTATATAATGCTGTAGTTTTGTGATTAATTTTTTTAAATTAATTCCATACTGGAATTCATTGAAATAGGGGCCATAACTTCAGAGTGCATCTAGAACGGATGAATCAAGACCTAACATGATTACTAAGTGCAGTATTTTGATGAAATGAGGAGAAAACTTTTGAAAGAAATAGGTATTGCCCTTCATTAAACCTATCTTTGTACTAGTAAAAATTCTGTATACTCCCTTCTGAATCAACTTTGTTGCTCATATACCTTTCTGCTCTTTCAAAGAGAAGAACATATCTTCTAGGATACTGTTTCTTTGAAAGAAAGGCATAAAACTAAGAATGAAGCTAAATAATTTCCAAGATTTTGTACATTTTTTGAACCCCTATCTTTCTCTACAAAAATCTTTAGTCTCTCAAGAAATCAGAATGGTGCATCCTTTCCTTCAATTAAATGAGCTCATCAAAATGACATTTCTATAAAATGGTGCCTATGGAGAAAGTGAGAAACTGCNAAAAATCTTTAGTCTCTCAAGAAATCAGAATGGTGCATCCTTTCCTTCAATTAAATGAGCTCATCAAAATGACATTTCTATAAAATGGTGCCTATGGAGAAAGTGAGAAACTGCCAGGACAAAAAAAATCCTTTTCAAAAAATGTATTGTAATCAGATTCATTTTGATGGAATTCTACCATATGTGTGAGTGAATTCTAGCCTCAGCAATCCTATGTTCTCTACAAATTATACTTTTAATTGTGCAAGGAAAAAATGACATTTCCTTTTTGCAAAGGAAAATTAGGCCCATTTTTTTGGTGCAGCATCAGGCCAAAATTTGGTTTAATCCAGCCCTGGTACCCATATTGTGTGGGTCCTATGCAAGGAAATCATCTCTACAGGGATTCTTTTTGTCTGGTTCCACCTGTGTAATGTAAAGATGAGCGTAAATTTATTTTTTGAATTTATTTTGTTTACCCAGGCAGGCACAAATGCCGTGTTAACTACGCTAGGTTTCCTGCACATGATCTGTCGGACACACGTTTTCGTTTTCCTTGTTAAGTCATTCGCCGTCCATCCGCGTGCGTTGTGCTGCAACGAAACGTCATGTGAGTGGGAACGTGGGAAAACTTATCGAGAAAAGAATGATGGACAGAGCTTCATCCTGACTTCTGATTTGTAAAAATTTGTACCGGTGAGGAGGAATTGTGGTTTTCCGCGAGACCATTTGTGAATTGTGAGCCTCTTGGTTGATGACGTAAAAAATGGATCGCTACGAAAGACTGTGTTGCCAGAAACTGTGCTCATTAGCTGATATTTCTTGAACGCTTTTCCAACAGTTCCGTTGATGAGTATGAAATCGTGCGATCGAATAAAATAACACGGGTGTTACCGTGCAATCGTAACGCTATACAGGTCGTGAAATTTAAATGTAACTCCTGGTTGATGAAGAGGAAAATAGATAAATAAATAAATGGCATGGAATTGGAAGTGGATCATGAAAAAATTATTACAGTCACGGGCTGAAGGAAGTGTTATACAAACATGCTAACAGTATAAGAAAATATTAATGACAACAGAATATTACAGAAGTAAACGCAAGGTCCCAAAAAACAGAGCATGGTTACTGCTGTACCTGGCAATTGGAGAATGAACGGAGCAGAAACGGACCCCCTCCCAGCCTCCTGCTGGGGAAGGACCAGAAGGTTTAATCCTTTTGGGTTGGACAATGTGGGATAAATTAGTAGGAAACCATTCCTAGGACCCCATATCCTGTGGGTCCTATGCAAGGAAATCATCTCTACAGGGATTCCTTTTGTCTGGTTCCACCTGTGTAATGTAAAGATGGGCGTAAATTTATATTTTGAATTTATTTTGTTTACCCAGGCAGGCACAAAAGAAATGACTGTATTATTAACGCTGAATGCCTTGATGGACTGAGGCACTTCTGACTGAATTTTTCATAAGCCTGCACCGCTTTAGCCTTTCAAGAGTCTTGTTCAAATTTTTTGGGGAAGGTATAGAACATGATCCCTCCCTGGCTGTTGCTCCCTCAACCTTCTTGTGTTAACTACCCTAGGTTTCCTGCACATGATCTGTCGGACACACGTTTTCGTTTTCCTCGTTAAGTCATTCGCCGTCCATCCGGGTGCGTTGTGCTTTGTGCTGCAACGAAACGTTATGTGAGTGGGAACGTGGGAAAACTTATCGAGAAAAGAATGATGGACAGAGCTTCATCCTGACTTCTGATTTGTAAAAATTTATACCGGTGAGGAGGAATTGTGGTTTTCCGCGAGACCATTTGTGAATTGTGAGCCTCTTGGTTGATGACGTAAAAAATGGATCGCTACGAAAGACTGTGTTGCCAAAAACTGTGCTCATTAGCTGATATTTCTTGAACGCTTTTCCAACAGTTCCGTTGATGAGTATGAAATCGTGCGATCGAATAAAATAACACGGGTGTTACCGTGCAATCGTAACGCTATACAGGTCGTGAGAATGGTCAAAATCGCGAAGAAAGTTGGACCCGTCGTCGAACCCCCTCAGTCAAGTGCGGAAGAATCAGATGACGGATCTTCGAGTGATTTTGAGGAACCTTTTCCAGCAGCGGTGGATGATGATGAAGGTGGCGGTGGTTTCCAGTCTAAAGGCTTGGTTCTAACTCGACCAGAAAACTTGAATCTCGATGGCTACGCATCCGAAGGAGAGCTCGACACGCGGCGTCTCATCGCCGAACAGAACCGCAAGAAGAAGAAATCCGGTGGTTTCCAGTCAATGGGATTGGGCCACTCGGTCTTCAAGGGCATTATCCGCCGGGGCTACAAGGTCCCTACGCCGATCCAACGAAAGGTTTGCGTTTAAATTCCTTTTCAATGCATTGCATCCTGATGAAAGTGTGAATTTCCAGGCCATTCCGGTGATAATGGAAGGCCGTGACGTGGTGGCCATGGCGCGAACTGGTAGTGGCAAAACTGCCGCGTTTCTCATTCCCATGCTCGAGAAGCTTCAAACCCGTCAAGTGTCCGGTGGTGCCCGGGCCCTAATCCTCTCGCCAACCCGTGAACTTGCTTTACAAACCCTCAAGTTCACGAAGGAAATCGGTCGGTACACTGGTCTGAAAGCCGCGGTCGTTCTCGGCGGAGACGACATGGATTCCCAGTTCGCAGCGCTTCACGAAAACCCAGACGTCATCCTCGCGACTCCGGGTCGTCTCATGCACGTCTGTGTCGAGATGGGCCTCAAACTTAGTTCAGTGCGTTATGTAGTCTTCGATGAAGCAGACAGACTCTTCGAAATGGGCTTCCAAGAGCAACTCCACGACATTCTCAGGAGACTCACCTGCGAAGACCGGCAAACTCTGCTCTTCTCCGCCACACTCCCCAAACTTCTCGTCGATTTCGCCAAGGCCGGTTTATCCGATCCGTATCTCATTCGTCTCGATGTCGAGTCCAAGCTCTCAGACATGCTTCAAACAGAGTTCTTCGAAGTTCGCAACGAAGACAAGATCGCTTTGTTGCTGTACACCTTGAAAAACCTCATAGACCCGTCTGAACTCACTGTCGTGTTCGTAGCGACCAAGCACCACGTAGAATTCCTCAGTGAACTCCTCACAGCGTCTGGAATCACCAACACGTTCCTCTATTCATCCCTCGACGCCACAGCTCGCAAAATCAACGCTGCCAAGTTCTCTTCGCGAAAAATCCCTCTTCTCATCGTCACGGACGTCGCCGCTCGTGGTATCGACATCCCGTTGCTCGACAACGTCATCAATTTCCATTTCCCTGCCAAAGGGAAACTGTTTGTGCATCGCGTCGGTCGTGTAGCGCGTGCTGGTCGTTCCGGAAAGGCCTATTCTTTCGTGTGTTGTGACGAAATTCCGTATCTCTTGGACTTGCATCTATTTTTGGGGAAACCCGTTGAGAATTTTGGTTCTGCGACGCAAACGGTTCTGGAATCTGAAAAGGACATTATTCGGAGATCCGTCATGGAAAGTAGGGAGCTTCAGAAGTTAGAAACCGCAGCGACGAACGGTATGAGCAAGTATCTCAAGTCTAGAACGAAACCATCTGCGGAATCGTTGCGAAGAGCGAAATTGTTGCGTCGAACGTCGATGGCTGGTGAGGGAACGTTTGTGTCGAAACCGCACGCGTCGCTGTCGACTGTCGATCACGACGAAGGTGAGAAGCTGAGAATGGATTTGTTGTTGCAAGTGAAGGCGTATCGACCGAAAGCGACTGTCTTTGAGATTGCCGCGTCGAAAAAGCCGTCTCCTTGGGCGTCGACGTTGACGACGATAACGAAGCCCGTGGAGATGATGAAGGAGAAACGGAATCGCGACGCCCGGTCTATTGCCAAGTACCAGGACAAGTACTCTGCTCTACGTGACGACGTGAATGTCGTGGATGCGACCAGAAATGGTGCTGTCGAGTCCGTGGATGACGATACGTTGGAGCGAACGTTTAGTGATGTGTTCATCGCGAAGAAGTCGACGGAGTTTGTGGATCCCTTTCCGAAAAGGAAGAAGAAGAACGCGTTGGTGGACGAGGATCATTTTGTGCCTTTCGTCGCCGCGGATGCGGATACTGAGAGAGGATTGAGTGTGAATGCGGGGTCGGTGTTTGAAAAAGAGGCCCTTGGGGCCATGTTGGACATTACTGCTGATGATGACGGGGGTTTGCGGGCCCAGCAGACAGGGAAAAAGTGGGACAGGAAGCGAAAGCGGTTCGTCGGGGACAAGGGACGCGTGAGTACAGTATATTTCTTTCTTGCTTCAGGAAGATTAGTGAATGTGTTGGATTTCGCATTAGAATTGCAATGGTGGAAGAAAAACGGAAGGCCGAATCTTTTTTGAAGAAAATTTGGCCTGTACGCCGGCGAAAATCGCTGATTTTTTTCAAGAATATGTCTTTCCAAATTAAATAATGCAATGAGATTTGAGCTTTTTTTGTATTTAAAGGTGGGGCCTTTTTTGTTGAGTTGTACAGGTATAAAATTGAGTTTGGCTTAGTTGGCAAGATGCCAACTTCAATGGAGACAAGACAAAAATCGTTTTCAACGATATAAATTCAGAAATGGAGTGTTTAAAATTATCCCAATTTTATGTGAGCATGGTCAATTGATTTTCAGTAATAAATCTTATACAGTAATCCAATGAGGAGCTGGGGTGCCGAGCCACATCTGGGGATTGGAAAAATTTGCGGTATAGTATTAGTATCCAAGAAATTGATATTTCTATGAGTGGTGATACAAATTATGAAGATAATAAAAAAATTATGATCAAAGCTGGTTACTTGTTGAAGGAGTACTGGTAGTCACCAGTTGTGGCGTTTTGTCAGGAATTTTTTGGTGGTACATGGCAAGTTGGTCCTAAATTGGGGTTTCCTTAAGAGTTAAGACCACAATGTAGTCAGATTTGTTTGAGGAAAATTTATGGCACTAAATTGAGGGTTGACTGAACAGGATTTAGTCTCTGGTCAAACTGGGAGCTAAAATAGGTGCAAAAAAAAATTTCTGTCCAATTGCATTCAAATTCAAATATTTTAAAATTTAAAATTTCTGAATTTATTTCCCAAAATAAATTGAATTTCGTGATGTTTATTAGTTTTTGTTTGAAGTTATTTTTATTTATTCTGTAATTTTTCACAGGGATCAAATGGCTTTTTTTTGCGGGTTAAGCATTTGAAAATTTGAAGCATGTTATCAAATATTGTATGTTTCATTGTACATTTATTATACAGTAGAAGTATTTCAGTTTAATTTTGCGAAGGTTCCAAAGTTTTCATGTATTTTTCGCGACCTCAAGCCCAGTGAATGAGTATTCTTTCGTAATTTTATTAACTAAATTGCATTTGGTGTACGAGACGTTCATCACGGATCCCTTCTCGTATTTACAGGAGGGCAAGGACAAGAGGATCAAGACGGAAGACGGTCGGTGGATCAAAGCCAGCTACAAATCCGGAAGGTACGAGGACTGGAAGAAGAAGAACCGGATGCACGAAGAAGCCGCTAGACGTCAGCAAGGCGACGAAGCCGACGAAGACGACGACGATGATCCCAAGAAAGTTTCCAAGGGGAAAAAACAGCAGCAGCAGCAAAAGAGCATGAAGAAGAAGGGCCCTGAGCCGAGCAGAGGTTTACAAGTGCTCGGGACCAGAGGAAAGTTCCACAGCAGAGGCGCCAAATTCCCGACTGCGACGAAAGGGGGACGAGGAGAGTTGCAAAGTGTTGATCAGATTGTGAAGAAGCGGAAGATCAAGCGGAAACGAGAGATTAAAATGCAACGGAAACAGGCGAAGGGGAGGAGACTCGGCGGCGGTGTGGGGGGCGGTCGTGGCGGCGGTGGCCGTGGTGGTGGTGGTGGTCGCCCCATGCGTGGAGGGAAAAGAAGATGACGACGCAAATCCCTCTTAGGACCGAGTGAGATTAAAAGTCTGGGCGGTCAATAATTTTTGGAGTGAAAATTATTATTTTTTGGTTACGAGAGAGGTTTTTCTCAGAATGTCTGCGAGTCACTGAGGACATTTTTCATTGCAAGTTGTTGAAGAATTTTATACAGTCGAACTTATTCAAGTCGAACTTCGAGGCACCAGCAAAACAATTTACTTGGAGAGGTTTCGAGTCAGAAAAACAACCTTTTTTCGAGGAAAGGTAAGAATTATAGGAAATTGTAATCAGTGATATTGGGATCTCAAATGACGTGACAGGATACTGAACTTGGCAGCAGGGATTCATTTGCTCAATTGATCTTTCACTTCCTTTCAAATCACAACAAGTTAAATTTTTATTGATTTTTCTCTTGCCTGTTCTGACAAAATAATAACCAAAAGGTCAGTAAAATACCAGTCATGGAGATTTGAGGGTTAGGGAGGTTTTTTAATGCAGTGTTTCCAAGGGAATTCTGATAGGAACTTGAAAAAATTGACATGGAAATGTATTTTATCTGGAGAAGTTTGAACTATTGAGATTCAACTGTAATATGTTTTCTTCTCTTTATAATGTAACAATTTTTGAGGTGGAATTGCGTTATGCATAATTAGAGAGTAATTACCGCAATAAAACGAATGCTGTGTTTGAACAGGTTCCAGTAAAATTCAAGTTGATTAAAGAAAGATATAATGGCTGAGATTGATGTTATGCTGGTCGCTTCGTTTTTCCTTCTGTAGATTGGAATTTTAACATGTTTGATTTTGTTCATGGCTGATCAAAGCAAGCATTATTGGAATATTTCTATAATTTATCTTTTTTTAAACGAATCAAAATTTTAAATTTTCCTGTTTTAATTATAATTTTGAACTTGATCAAGAGCGGGTTTCTCCAATACTGTACTATACAAAAAGTTGGCTAAAAGGGATAAGATTAAATTATTATTTTTTTCATGAATGAATGAACAGAACACTTTATTTGCTGCTTTTCAGCGTTCACAAGGTTCAATTAAGATTTCCACAACCAAACCCCCTTCCCACCCAACCCAAATCCACTCAATGACATTCAATCACTTCAGAGCAGGAAGCAGAGCACAAATTGATTAAAAAAACTAAATACAGTTATATTTTTCATATTACTGCATTGAAGATTTGACAATTATCCGCAAGACTTCTGAGAAACAGCTCGTATTTCTGGCGAAAACTTCGTGCAAAAATTCATTCATTAATTTTTGTTCTCTTTTTCCAGATTTTTTTCGAATGCTAAAAATGTGGGGTCAGTGTTTGATGACTCGTGTGTCTCCTCTTGTCATTCATTGGTGAGTATTATGTGCGAAGTATTTTTATTTGGAAGAATCTAGTGAACGTCTGGGGGTAATCTTTTGAGAAGGAATGAACTGATTTAGGCAGAATAATGTTTTTGTAAAATCTTCTGCGTCGAGGTAGTTTAATTCAGATATTATGTGTGAAGCTGTTTTTATTTTCGCGTGGTCTGGTATCTTGAAAAGAAAGAAATTTACATCCTCAAATTTTTCTTTCATGAAATAAGGAATTCTCGTGACTCCAATTAAGATTAAAGTGAGATCTACGTATTGAAAAAAAAACGTATTAATGCGATGGTCGGAGTAGAAAATACGGTAACACCGTACACATGAATTCAATTCTCGTTCAAAATTTCACATCAAATGTTTCGTTGATGAATGAAAATAGAGTCATTATATTTTTACTGTAGAGATACGAGAGGAGATATTTCAAACGTATTTATGATGTGATAAATCGTTGAAAATTAGATTCAAATTTAAATGTCAATGGGAATCTTTATCCACTTCGTTGATTGTGTTATCAAACTGTGTGAACTGTCGGGGAAAAATATTCTCGAGGGAAAACCATTCGATGAAATGAATTGTGCGATACCACACTTTTTCCCCCCAAGAGAATTCCAGTTTATTTTCGCTAAGAATAAATTATTTGGATTTCTGTAATACACTAAAAATTCGTATTTTTTTAGCCCCGGGAATTTTTTTGTGAGACTTGAGGTATGCAAATCTTGAAGACAATTTTTTTGCTGGGTACTTGGAGATTTTGTGAATTATGATGTTTTATGGAATGTCATGCAGATGTCGCCTCATTCCAAGTGTTTTAACTCAGTAAAGAAAACCTAATTGGTTATTTAAAAAAAACGTGGGTGACATGTGAATCATACAATTCAACGTACTCAAGTCGAACTTCAAAGGACCAGAGAAAAACAGTGTGCGGAAGGTTTTGAATTGAAGAAACAAGCATTTTTGTATGTGAGAAAGAATTATATAAAATTGTAATTGGTGATATTCTGGGTCTTGAATTGCTGTCTGAATGAGTTGACAGGATGCTGAACTTGGAGGCGAGGGCTAATTTACATAAGTAGTCTTTCACTTCTTTTCAGAACATTTTTTTATTGCATTNTTATTTTCGCGTGGTCTGGTATCTTGAAAAGAAAGAAATTTACATCCTCAAATTTTTCTTTCATGAAATAAGGAATTCTCGTGACTCCAATTAAGATTAAAGTGAGATCTACGTATTGAAAAAAAAAAACGTATTAATGCGATGGTCGGAGTAGAAAATACGGTAACACCGTACACATGAATTCAATTCTCTATCAAAATTTCACAGCAAATGTTCCATTGATGAATGAAAATAGTCATTATATTTTTAATGTAGAGATACGAGAGGAGATATTTCAAACGTATTTATGATATGATAAATCGTCGAAAATGTGATTCAAATTTAAATGTCAATGGGAATCTTTATCCACTTCGTTGATTGTGTTATCAAACTGTGTGAACTGTCGGGGGAAAAACATTCTCGAGGGAGAACCATCCGATGAAATGAATTGTGCGATACCACACTTTTTCCCCCCAAGAGAATTCCAGTTTATTTTCGCAAAGAATAAATTATTTGGATTTCTGTAATACACTAAAAATTCATATTTTTTTAGCCCCGGGAAAAAAAACACTCTGAACTCCATACGTTTAGAACTTCTGTTAAAAAAACGACCCATGAACCTCTAAAACACTTAATACTACAAAATACCTTACAGTACGTCTACAGCGGAGTAAGGTTCACAAAATTGACAGTAAAGAAAACCTAATTGGTTATTTAAAAAAAACGTGGGTGACATGTGAATCATACAATTCAACGTACTCAAGTCGAACTTCAATCCTGGTCTCTTTTTGTCACACGCCTTCCAAAACTTAACTTCTTTGTTCGTAAAAACATACACTCTTTCTTAATATATTTTAACATTAACCACTATAAGACCCAGAACTTAACGACAGACTTACTCATGACAGGATGCTGAACTTGGAGGCGAGGGCTAATTTACATAAGTAGTCTTTCACTTCTTTTCAGAACATTTTTTTATTGCATTTCTCATTCCTGCATGAATAAAATACTGTAATTGACAAAAGGTCTCCAGAAAATTCGCGTTATTGAGGTTTGAAGAGGAAAACCTTTTTAGTTAGGGAGGTTTTTCATGCATTTTTTTCTGAGGGGATTCAGAGAGGGACTTGCAATGACTCAGAAAGGCTTAAACGTCTCTGACAATCCGAAGTTATTTCGAGTTTTTTCTAATGCTAAGCATTCTACGGTATAAAAGGGTAATTAGCTTTATAACATACACAAATAAAGTCCGCACGTCACAACGGTACGCAGGTTGTTCACTCTCTTTACAGAGCTCAGTTTGCAGCAAGGTGTGTAGGAGGCATGAGGTGGGCGAAAAAGGAACGAACTGTGAGTGAAGCCAGACTTGGAACTTTGTAATGTGATACGAACCAGTCCTGTTTTTTGTTTTGTTTTTTTGGATAACGTCCAGGGCTAATTGGAGAATCAACAGGAGCAGGTTTTTTAAGGATGAGATGCGTTCACCTGCTGTGACTCTGTGAACAAAGCTTCTGATTTGATCTGATTGAGAATGTTTAAAGACTGAATCTCAAGTGCTTTGCGTGATGATGATCCTGAAACTTTTTTTTTCGTGTCCTTTATTTGACAGCCATGTGTGAATGTAAAATTTGTTTTGATTCAAGGATAATATGCAATCAAACCTTGATTTAGTGCCCCTCCAAAATGAAGAGAAACCCTTGCATTTTGTCAAAAATTTCTCTGGAAAAAATCTGACTCCCATGTGTTCTTGAAGGAAACCCCATTTAGTGCCAACTCTATGACTGCCACAAAAAAGTCCTTGTCCTCAACAAAGAATGGGCCAGAATTGAAGAAATTGAGGCATTTTTCTTGGGTTATCATTGGATTATAACTGAGGATTACGTATCCTTGCCCAAATAAAAAATTACCTATTAACACTCCTGTGAAAAAAGACTAAAATCTAACAACTTTATATATAAAAACCGTACTTAAGAAGGAAATAGTTTTTAAAATACTTATTTCACCATCGAAAGGATCTTTATTACCACTATAGGGCATGATGGCACCTGAAATGAGATTCAAACGAAACCTTAAAAAGCATTTCTACTCTTTTTACTAGACACAATATTTGTAAAAATCCAATATATTCTTTCGTACTGAATTAAACATGTTGTAATGCTGTATAAAAACAGTACATTTGAGATTGAAATTGTTTTTCATGTCATTTTCTCATATTAAACAGACTCGATGGCCAAAAAATCTGTAAACAAGCTTATTTTCCGTGTAGTAGAAACTATCAATTGAACTTGCCTCCAATAGAATAAACTTGTTTTATTGCCATCTTTTGTTCCAGAGTATTTTGTGTTTGACTGAAAATTTCACATTGACTTTCACTGTGTTGTAAAAATGCTTCTGGTATCAGAGTTGCAATTACTGTACCTGTAATTCTCAGCAAATTAAATGAGGAATCCTGGTACAGAAATTTTTTTTTTTCGAATGCATTGATGTATCAAGCGATAACGGTACTGACTCGGAAGTTTTGAGTTCCCGAGAAAATTCTTGGACGGAACTGAATTTGAATAGTGTTTTGATTTGTGGATTTTTTGAGATGATGTGTTCAAGTCTGTGAAGAGGGGAAGCAGAAATGTGACATTTATTGATGCGGGGGGCTGTTGCAGTAAAATGCTCTTCTACTCTTGAATAAAAAACCATCTTTTCAGAATTATTTCAAGGTTCAGTACTTGACCAGCAAATCTTTCGAACCAATCTTCCGTTCAACTTTAAAATTTAGATCCGTCGTTTATTTATTATTCTCACGAAACCGAGTTGAATTGTGACCAAGTTTCTCTTTTCCGTGAACTAGCTTAGAACGAAGAAGTGATGAAATCTGAGTCGTGTGAAGTGAAGTTTTGGTGGTGTTGACTGTGTCATTATCATCGACCTTGAACGAAAAACGACAGAATTTAGTTGAGTAATTACGAAGGATTTATCAAAAGTCTTGCGATTTGTCTAGAAACGAAATGTTTGCCTCATCGAGGCAAAGAAAAGCTGTTGTATCTTCTTCCGTGGAAAATACTTATGCTAATTAAAATTTAATATAAATTGAATGAATTAAATAGAAATATGTATTGTATTGAAATTAATTGAATTTATATTTTTCTGCTGTTTTTTTAATGCTTTGTTCTGAATTTCGTGAGTGGATGCCCAGTGACTGCAGTGAGTAAGTTACTGTTTAAAAAATTGATGAAAAGGTATTTGTACAGAAATCGGCAGATTTTGTGAAGAAAAAAATTACAGGCAAATTTTTCAGATTTACGGGTTGCGGATTTTAAAGGTGCTATTTTCTTCATTAAATTCGCCCGAAAATGGGTTAATACTTGTGGCGCCAGTTGAGAAATTGATTGAAGGAAATGTTTGATAAACCTTCTAGCAAATTCATGAAACAAATCCGCAAAAATGACTCGAAATTGGAGTATTTTTTCAAAAATTGAAACAAGGTATGCTCTGTGAATAAATATTTTTAACGCCTTTTTATGCAAAAAAATTCCATTATGTGAGTTGTTAATTATCCGGGTTTGCTGCTGATGGTGGATAACTTGATCAACATTTTTGTTTTCCGAATCATTTTTTTTGTAGGTCACATTTAAAAAATTCCTTCAAGCAAATTCATGAAACATTTTCGCAAAACCACTCCATATTTGAGTAGTTCTTTCAAAAATTGAAGCATGGGACGTTTTGCATGTTACTTATTTTTGAACGCCTTTTTAAGCGAAAATTTTTTTTTCATCAATAATAAAGCATTGTCAAGTTTTCGTTTGTCTCTCGATGTCAATTTCTGAGTGACTTGCAGAAATTGTTGAAAACTCCGCGCGGGTCTCAAATGAATTTTCTGACAGCTGGAGTTTTGGATTTCGTGGGATTAATGGGGACGTAATTGAGTTTCGGTTGCCTGGAGTTGCTTGTTTACTTTTTCCCAGGGTTCAGTGGTTTTTCTGCTGTTGATGATACTCCCTCCGGATTGCGTAATATGTATTACTCATAGTCTTTGTGTGTTTCTATCTCTCTCTCTTTTTTCTCTTTTATTCTTCTCCATTCAAGCAATACCCGGAAGAACTGACGCCAGGCAGTGCGGAGGTGATAGAAAAGGCAATTGCGGACAAGTATGCGAGAGTGTCGCCGCTGAAGGACGATCCAGCGTGGGAAAGGCGGTCGTGGACGCCGGAGTCGAAGCGCAGTGGCGTGATTGCCAAGAAAATCGGCATTCTTCCGGCCTGGAGAGACAGTGGGGAGAAGTTTCTGGTGACGCTTTTGCAAGTGTCTGATAATCACGTGATTCGGTTTGTTTATTTTTCTTTTCGGGGGGTCGTCGATTGGAAGAGGTTTTGGTAGAAAAAGTGCGATGGTGACCGCGAGTGACATCTACGAACGCCTTTTTAGTTTTCGAAGGTCGTGATGAAATTTATCCCTTCCCACTGAGAACAACAACAACAACAAGAAAAATGCTATTTTTTAAAATTCAATTTTGTGCATAGAAAGTACAGTTTGATTATGTGAGAATGCATGTGCTAAGTTTTCAAGGAGTCCTGATGCTCTTCCTGGTTGGCGCAAAAGTTTCCAAGATCTGCAGAAAGTACTCGTGAAGTCATAAAATCATGATTAAATTAATTTCTCCCCGCGAAGTACAACAAGAAAAATGCGGATTTGCAATTCAAATTTTGCCCGTTGAAAGTAGAATTTTGTGATAAATGTGCTAATTTCTCAAGAAGTTCTGCTGCTTGTTTTTGTCGTGAAAGTTTCGAAGAATTTTAAAAACTACTCGTCTACGTACATCAATAATTAAATTGATCCTGTCCCGCGAAGAACAAAAAAATGAGGCTTTGCAAATTCAGTTTCGTGCGTTGAGAGTATAATTTTGCATGTGCTAATTTTTCAAGCAGTCTTGCTGTTCGTGTTCGTAGCTCAAGTCTCGCAAAAAATTGCAAAAACTATTCGTCGATGTATAGTCTAAAATCTATCGGCTGTTTCTGGGTGAAGAGGATTTTTATTTCATTGTGAGAAAAATAATTAAAAATACGTGTGAGAAAAAGAATCAGCTGCGAATTGCCTAAAATGCGATACGAATTTGGATGACTATCGTAATTGAAAAAGACGAAAGTAGGACGCTTTTTCCCTAATACTTCTCAAAGCATCGAAAATTTCCTCGGGTCAGTTTTACTGATTTAATAAAAAAGCCGTATTTTTGTAATGAAATGTTACTACTGTAAAATCGAAAATTGACCCTCAAGTTGCGTGTGGTGGCGTAAAAAAGAATTTGTCAACTCGCAGGATTTTCGAGAAACCTCTCCTTACTGACGTAGATCCTTTCAATCATCATTTATTTTATGATTTAAAAAAATGTTAAAATAATTTTCTATTGTTACCTCCAGGTACATCGAGCCGGAAGAGTGGATCAAGACAGTGAAGGGAGCCCAGTGGTACAAGGCCTTCAAGGGTCCCCCGAAAATGGGTGTTTTGGTGGTGGGATCAGACAGTGCGGACCCGAGAACGGTTCGAGTCTCTCCTTCCTTACGAATTCACACTTTATTCAAAGTTTCATAGAAAAACCTCATTCGAATATTGCTGTTTTTTTTGCTCCTCTCGTCGCCGAATTTTATTCAGTTTACGAAGGAATACTGTGGCCTATTTGAAGAGTCTGGAGTGATGCCGAAGCGGAAGATGACTAGGTTCTTCGTAACCCCTGATGCGAAAATCCGTCCTGGGACTCCCTTGTTTGCTGATCATTTTCGTGTCGGTGAATACGTGGATATTTACGGGAAAACGTGGGTTTGATTAACTATTTATTTACGCGAAAAAAAATTTCAAATCGTACTTTTAGTTTTTATGTACGTTCTACGTGAGAAGAAACTCCCGAGTGGTCCACTTGACGTAGAGTAAACGGGTTAAATCGGGGCTCTACCTATTTGTATGCGTCTTGAGACAGCTCCTAAAACTGGAAATGGTAAAATGTTGAAATTTCAAATTGAAAACCTGTTGAATTTTCAGTGATTACTGACTTTAAATCCCGCCTAGATTAACGTTCTAGGGTTTAGAGCATACATCCATTTACTGTATGCATGTCGAAAAAAATGATTCAGGAATGTTTTGAGTCTCTAAAAAAAAAGCATTTGTGTCGAAAGAAAAAAAAAATATTCTAGGAAATTGTAATTGGCGTTATTCTGGGCCTTGATTTACTTCTTGAATGAGTTGACAGGATGTTGAACTTGGAGGCAAGTGTTCATTTTCCCAATGAATCTTTCACTTGCTTTATAAGTCAATTCAAGTTTCATTTTCTATTGTTTTTCTCTTTCCTTTGTCAATAAAATAATTAATAAAAGGTCCCCAGAAACTTGTACTTACGGAAGTTTGAGAGGGAATGTCTTTGAGTTGGGGTGGCTTCTAGAACATTTTTTCTGTGGGAATGCAGAGATAAATTTCAAAATATCGTCATTGGGAGTGTCGACTTATGACTTATGAGGTTATATTTTGTATAAATATATACTATTCATAATGTTGATTTAGGATCGAACGAGGATTTCAAGGAGTAATGAAGCGATGGGGTTTCCACGGCATGCCGAAGACCCACGGGCAAACGAAAACCCACAGAAGACCCGGAAATATCGGCGGTGGCGGAGAGAAGGCCCGGGTTTGGCCTGGCAAGAAGTTGCCCGGGCACATGGGTTCGGAAAGACGTACCCTTAAAGGTCTCAAAGTGAGTAGGGTTCAGAGGGTTTCCTTTTTTCTTGCTTTCACGACGCTGGATATTTTATTACCGAATCAGTTAAATTAACATTTTATCAACTTTTTTGAAAAATATTGGGGGTCGCTGATTCAGGCGACACCTGTGTGAAATTAAGCAAAACGAAGAAATGCGTGGTTTCAAGATGTTCGTTTCCGTGTCACTTGCAGATTTGGAGGATAAACTCTGAACATAACGTGATCTACGTTGAAGGCTGTGCTGTTCCCGGGCCAACAAATGGTTACGTGCTCATCCACGATTCCATTCTAAACCATAGGTTCGTTTATTTTTTATTTTTTTCAGCTAAAATATAAATTAAGTCTGACTTATTATTATTTTTTTTCTGTGTCTCATTAGGAGACTGGGATCAGAAACAAACAAGGACAAATCAGCGCTGGAAACCCCTCCACCTTTCCCCACATTCTACCCAGACGACCAAGAAGAAAAGGGAAAAGAAAGTTTTGCCAATGGCCTACACTCGTTTTCGGAGCCAACAATCAATTTTGCGCAAAATTGATTCCTCAATTTCTAGTGCTATTTTCTCGTCGCCGGCGATGGGAAGAAAAATATTGTTGTGTTCTTACACGGATTAAATCCTTATTCGTGGTTTTTTTTTTTCGTGGATTGATGATCTTTTTCGCGTGTGTGTGATTCAGGATAGTTTTCATTTGTCTTTTTAGAGCCGAATAGTGGTTGTGTTTAATTGATTGACTGAGAGGAGAGAAAAGGAAAGAAGTGTGTGTGAGATGTGTGGATGACGAGTCATGGAAGTGGCGTACACATCGACGAGTGACGCGGAGGCGAGGCTAGAGAGCGTGTTCCCGTGGATCCGGTTGAGTCCAGTGTTTAGCGATTTGAGCAGTGTTTCTGGCCTGGTGGCCAGAGGACCCGAGGAAGCTGGCAAGTTTCTGGGCCACCTGGACCCGTGTTGCGAGATCGACACCGACTCCTGGGGCCCGATCTTCAGGTGCCTTTTATTTTTCTCTAGAAACTTTTTTATTTATCGTATTTTCTCTGATGAACGCCTGATCTCCAAAAAGGGCCTGTCTTTGACTAGTGCTGGGTCTTAGTGATGCTTGAAGCAAATAATAACTAGTCTCGAATGCTGTAGTGGCCTGGTTAAAGAATGGAAAGAATTATCCTAATCTAATGAGTAATTTACACCCTTGTATTAAAAGTGCACTCTCTCTGCAACAAAATTCAAGTGACCAGAAAATTATTTATTGTAGAGAGAATTTTGTTACAGAAAATCCCAGTAACATGGTTGGAGAACCCTATGCCCTATGGGTGGGATCAACAAAAAAAAAATTGTTATGCAGAGAAAACCATTGTAGAAAAGGTTTTTGTAGGGAGAGTCCACCTGTATTTTCAAATGTAATTGAATGCTGGGTGCATTTTCAGTACCTGTGCATAATTCCCTTGAGTACAATTCACATCTTTTTTTTAACTGGAAAGATTAAAAGAGAATGCCTGCCATGATTGATTATACAGTGCAAATTTTATAAATGAAAAAACCCTTGGTGAGCATCATACTTGATTATAACAGAGAATTTTGAAAAATGTCATCAAACAATTTTTGAAAACTTAAAAAAGTTGGCAATGAATTCTAATATGCACAGTACAGTTGAAGTCCAAATTTAAATAATGGTGGGTTTTTATTTTTAAAGTTTTTCAATTTTCAGTCAAGTTCAAATTGGGAAGTGTGTCTTACTCAGGGATACATTTTTTAAACAAATTTTAGGATCAGAAAATCACTTGCGCATTTCACTTGAAGGCATGTGTTACTTGAGTAAATATGGCAATTCTTTACAGTACTGATTGAGTTACTGCGCAGTACTGTGGAGCTTAAAAACGCCGGGGTTCAGTTGGCTGCTCAAATTTCAATTCTTTGCTAAGCAAAAAAGCAGCCTTTACAACATGTCACTTGAAGTTTTGATTTACTTGTGAGAAACGTCAGTGATTAATAATTGATGATACAGTTCTGTGTGTTGCTTTTTTTTGATGATCTGCACAAAGGAACCAAGTGAGCTTGGATACATACTTTTTACAAAGCTGCATGTTGAAGCATTTTGTCAGTATTTTTTTAAATTTCAAAATTTTCGAATGGTTAAAAAAAATTTTTTTGATGCCAGTGTCCTTTTGTCCATAGTTTTCTGTGTATTCACATAGATGTCGCCTGTTGAAATGATTTGTCAGTCTTTATTCATGTTCTCCTTTCGTTTTTCACTCTTGGGCAAAGTTCAACATGAATAAATCGAACCTTCCTGTGTAAATTTTGTTTTTCAAGTCCGTTTCCAAATTCCCTTAAAAACTGAAATTTAAAAAAACCTCAGAAACTCTTACGGCTTTCCTCCAAAAACCTGCTCAAGTGGAATTTTTGTTGGCCCGTTCATCTTTGACTTGAATAGGTTCGACTGTAGATACGACCAAGAAAATTCTGAAATTATAAATTTGTGACTCGTGAAATAGAAGGAATATGCAGTAAAATTTTCAAATGGATTTTCGTTTGTTGTTCTTCTTGAGTGTGTGTGTATTTTTTTTTAATCCTTCACCGAAAAGATGGTTTCGTCAGTGCTGGGCATTGGCAACACTGGACGTATTTATCGTGGAATGATTGAATGAATTTCTCCCTGCGACGTGAGTTCACTCCCGAAGACAATACCGTCATTGTATGATAAATTTTTTCCTTCCTCCTGGTGATACTGAAAAAGCGGGAGAAAGATGTTGGAAGCGTGGTTTTTTTGTGTGCCTGTTTTAAAGGAACAAACTTGATGTTCACCACGTGTGATTTTTTCCCCACTGTCCGCTTTCAGAATTTTCGAAAACTTCGCCTGTTTGAATGTTTATTTTCGTGGGAAAAATCGTTTCTCGTCACTGGTTGTGATTTTTTGAACGCTTCCATATTTTTTGACAATGATATCCAAGTTTTACCGAGATGCGAGTTGATCTTTGGCTCACGATCTTTTGTGGTGTCGTACTGGTGTGAAATTGAAAAAAAATCGTATTCGAGGGATTCATTACAATACATTCATTCATTCATTCCTCGTCAAAGTGTGTTGAACAGCGGTGAAGAGTTGCCAAATGATCGGGCTTTGCTAATCTAAATTTTTTTTCATAATGTATGAAATTCCGTTGAATGAGTGAGACCCCGAGATGCGGACGTGATTGGTGCATGGACCTTTTCCCTAAATGGAATGTCCGCATGTCGGAACTCGTTTTATCCCATAGACTCCAGTGGGGATATTTTTAATTGTTTCTCCTGTAATTCGATAATTGAGAAAAAGTCCACCCAAAAATTAAATAAAAGAATTTTTTCCTAACTTCGATGCAGAAAATAAATGTACAGAAGAAAACCACGCAGAATCTGATCTCTTGGCATCAGAAAGAGCTCAAGAAGCAAAGAACAAGAATAAGTTTTGTTGTACAGTAATGAACTTACATGATGCAAAAAACTGAAAAAAGGAAGAACGTTTTTCAATTATGATTTAAGGTAATTTTTAATGAAATTTATTTATAGCATTTGTAATTTATAAAAAGCTAAATTTTTTAATGAAATGTTTCACGAAAATATTTGAATTTCTCTCAGAAATCCTGGCGAAGTGTCCGTATCTCGAGTTATTGTCCGGATATCGGGAGTGGATTTTTGCTGGTCTACGTGTTCATAATTCGAATCGTCCGTATGTTGGGGCCTGAAAAAAATTCCCAAAGCTTTATGAACCAACCGTCGTTTTTTGTTGTTGTTGTTATTTTCAGGTACCTGGAAAGTCAGTTGAAGACTAGTTGCGGCTACGAAGCAGAACCCGAAGCCGTGGTGGGAGTGGATTGGAATTCGGTGCCGAGTCTCGTGGTGTGGCTCAGGTTCTTCCGCCTGGCCCTGGTGCACAGTGTGCATTGCGAATCCCGAGTGGGCAACATCAAGGCCATCCGATCCCAGTTGCCCGACGGCGTGCAGCGGGAATTGATGACCCAGATTTCCCAGGTGCAGGGCCAGTGTTTGCGAGGCGAGTCCCAGGACGACCTCAGGTCCAGCAACCCGTCGCCCTTGTCCATTCACAGTTTTCTCTGTGAGGATTCATTTTATTTTTTTTGTATTTGCTGTGGTCGTGTTTATTAGTGTGTGTGTGTGTTTTTCTTTCTAGTGACACACAGCAGTGTTACCCAACCTTTTTGGGCCCGCGGACTGGCAAATTTCATTAAAAATGTGTTGAGGACTTGCAAATTTCCAAAAATTTTCTGCAGACTGGCAACGTTTTGTACAATTTTTGCAGAATCAAAAAAAATTTGCTTGGAAGACTTTATGGCAGACAATTAAAAAATTCCTGTTGTTTTGCAAAACTTGAGAAATCGTGAAGCAGCTGAGTGGAATATTGAAAAAAAAAATTGAAATTCGGGGCTTGAAGAAAGGTTTATATTCAGCAGGTTAAAATTTGTCTGAAGTGTTTATTATGAGAAATAGCCAACTTTAATTTTCCATCAGATAAATTCAACTGCAATTGTCTCTCCAAAATGTCAGATAAGAATAACACATTTCATTGCTACTTTTGATACATTTATCGTGCTGAAGAAAATGTCCTGTGGACTGGCTAAAATACTTCTCTGGACCATGGGTTGGGAAACACTGCCATACATTACTCAGTCAAGTAACACATGCACGTTTTTTTTTTATCTCAAAAAGCGTGGTACAGTACTTCAGTAAAAATAGGTTATCTTCAAATTGTGGAATTTTTTGTGCGTTTCCAAAATTGAGGTTCCCTTTAAGAGCAAAATGGAGTCAAATTTCTTCCATAGGAATTTGTGGCATTATGCAAGAGTGTCACTGAATTGAGGTTTGACTGTACAGTATTTTAGTCTGAAATCAAACTGGCAGGGGAAAATTGAAAACAAAAACAAATGCTGGAAAATTGAATTCAAGTTTTGATTCTTTGAATTTAAAATTTTTTTTTCATTTCCTAAACTAAATTGAGGTCTGTGCCACTGACTCTTTGTTGTTTGAGTGTGAGGAGGTCTTCTAATAGTTATAATGGGATCAAGGGATTTTTTTGATGAGCTGGAAATGTAAAAAAGTGAAGCTGTTTTTTAGTATGCTGTGCAGAAAATTCCAAAGAACGCATTTGAATTTTTAAAATATGTATCTTTTTGTTGTGTTGTTCTTTTTATGTATCTGAAATTACAAAGAATCACTCAATAATTCCTCTCGGGCCTTGGGGAAAATAATTTGTGTAAGTGAGAAATTCTGTGTGCATAAAATGTTCATATATTTCACAAAAAATTGTGCCAATCACGAAAAACATTTTCGTGGCAACTGGCTGAAACATTACCCGAAGTAAATTCTAAGTAAAAGACCCCCAAAATCCTGAATATTAATGCATGATGTCTTCTGTTCCGGAGTGTTTAAATGAAATACTGAAAAATTTTCTCCTCATTTTCCGATGGACAACAGGTGACAGTGAGCAAGACTTGTTATCTCTGCATAACAATAACAACAACAACAACAACAATAATAATAATAATAACAACAGCCTGAGCAACACGAGTTTGGCGAGCAAAAAGGAGCTGTTCTACAGAGAACTCGAGAAGCTGAGGGATCAAGTCAAGGACTTGGAGACTGAAAAGGCGGAACTAGTGGAAAAAACCCGGGAACTGAGAACCAAGTTGACTGATGTGAGTCACTCTTCTTGAAACGTGTAGAAAAAAATAGTTTTGAATTGATTTTTTCTCAGTATAAAAGCGAGGAAAAAACCAAGTTAACTGATGTTGGTCAATTCTTCCTAAACTGAAAATTGAAAAAAATTTGAATTGCTTCTTCAATCTGTAATTTAAAAAAAAGCGAGGTGAAGAACCAAGATAACTGATGAAGGTCACTTTAAATTGTAACAAAATAATTTTCAATTGTTTTTTCTAAATTTTGATCCCTAAGAAAAGAGAGGAAAAGAACGAAGTTGACTGATGTGAGTCCCTCTTTATGAAAATCTTGAAAAATTCAATCTTGAATTGCTTTTTTCACTCGTCCTAAAATAAATTTTAAAAAGTAATTCAAATTGCTTTTTCAATTTTCAATGCCAAAAAAAGGAGCGAAGAAAAGAACCAAGTTGACTGATGTGAGTCACTCTTCCTAAAATAAAAATTGCAAAATAAATTAATTTTCAGTCATAATCCCGATAAAGCAAGGAAACGAACTAAGTTAGCGAATGTTTGGTCACTTCTCTTAAAAAAAATGGTTTAAAAATTTGTGTGAATTTCTTTTTCAAATTTATTTTCCTCTTATTCCAAAAAAAAAGAGCGAGGAAAAGGCGCTGAAACTCGAATACGCCGTCGAAGAGCAAACGGAACGATCCCACAAGCTCAGCTCGGAACTCAAGGCGCAAAACGAGGAGAAGACCGAGTTATCGTCGGAAATGCGGTCGTTGTGCGACAAGTTGGATATTTTGCGCGAGGCGGCGAATCGCGGGGACGCCGCGGAAGCCGCCAATGCCGTGTTCCGCGACCGCCTGGCCCGAATGGAGGCTGAGCTGGCCAAGCGAGAAGAAAAGCGTCAGCGGTTGGTGCCGGTGTCGGAGGCCGAGAAGGCCGTCGCGACGCTCACGGAGTCCGTCGCCGTGGCCCGGGAAGAAGCCGAGGCGTATCGGAGACGAGCGGCGGCTGCTGAGGACGAAGTTGTGAGGCTCAGGCGGAAAATTGACAGGTTACTACTGTGCTTGAAGTGATTGAGTGATTGTGATCTTTGTCTTCCCTGAAATTATCCGATGATTCGTGTTACGAGACGACATTTTTTTTTAAAGCTCTCTGAAATCAACCTAATGAAAAAAAAAAAATTAAGAAAATAACACATAATATTGTTTATATTATAGGCATTAAAATCTCGTTACTACAAATTTCTGGGGACTCGGGGATAAAGTTTGTTTTTCGGAATAATGTGTTTATAACCAGACTCTCAAAATTAATGACAGAAATAATTTTCACATCATATCTGGATATGTAATCATTTAATCAATTAGATCTTGCTGTTCCGGTATCCTCATGTTTTTTAATTATTGTCTGAAAAACTGAAGATCTTCTGAATAAAATCTTTTGAGTTAGTGTTGTTTGTCATACAATAACACTTTGTTGAAATAAGTCTCTTTATAACGCTTTTTTCATTGGTCCCAGCGGTTTTTACTCAAGAACAATGTTATAAATATTTAATTTTAACGAAGTGGTTTTTATCAATTATATCAGTGTGATTCTTCTTTTTTTTGCCTCGATTCTATGCATGGGTCATGAGAATTTCCCATTTCAAAATCCGACAGTTTTTTTATTATAGATCATTGAAGGATAGAAATGCTCTTCTGTACGTGCAGAAAATTTAGCATAATTGCAGGAAGTACGATGCTCTTATCAGAATTTATCTTGAATTTTTTCATAAATTACATATGATTAAAGCCATATCAACAGTGTGTTTGAAAGAATACTGTTAGATTTTAGGGAACATGCAGCATTTAATGAATAAAGGCATTTCTTGCGCATGTGTAACGTATTTCTTCGTTTCAGTGCATATTTCATTAAAATCAATGCAGTTCCCGTAAATTTAAGAAAAGGTAGGTCTAAAATACGATGATTTAGACCTGTGCTGTATTTTCAATTTTTCTCTATTACTTCATTAAAACATTTGGAAATGATGAAAACTCCTAAAATATCTGCCGTGGAGGCATTTTAAAGCAGTTATTTCATGTTCCTTACAATGTTTGACCTTCAAGTGCTCCAAGAACTTCGAACTCGTTATAACAAATTTTGTGTTATGCTGAATTTCCTCATAGGAGATTTTTGTCGCAAGATTTTGCTGTATATTTACATCATTTATTTATATTTTAGATTGGAAGGAAAGCAGGCGGACTGGGAGCGGGAAAGAGAGGGTCTACTGGAAGAGTTGGCCAGGATGCGGGCCACAGTGGCGGGCCACAACGGAAATGATGATCTGGACAGAGCTCCTGCCCTGCTGACTGAGCTGGAACTTGAACAGGTTTAATTCATTGTGCTTTTTCCAGTACGTGTATGACAGAGAGAAAAACTCAATACAGAGAAATGTATTGCTTTAGAAGAAGAAGAAAATTGACGAGTTTTTTTTTTTTTTCGACAGACTCGTTCAGAAGTTGAATTTGTTTTTGAATCTTTTCATGGATTTTTGCATTGTTCTGTTTATTCCGTTCGGTTTATTGAAGTGAAATTTGAGTTTTTTTGTCGAAGGCGAACGAACATTTCCCTGTAAGAATTTAAAATTGAAAGAGAAAAAATTATTCTGCAGATCTGCCCTGAATAAAAAGTACTTTACTTCCCTTTTCTCCCAAAATTAATTTAAAAGTTTAAAAATTTATCCAACATTAGTTTCAAGTTCATGCTGATCGAAAAGAAAGAAACCGAACTTTCCAGTCAGGCGTTTTAAATTTTTTTTTTCTCACGAGACGAAGCGAAGAATCTATTTTCTCTTGGGGAAATTATTTTTCTGGTTTTTCATTTTCTTTCAGAACTTTGCAGACAGTTACGAAGAACTAGGCCTGGTTCGAGACCAAGTTGGGAAGATGAGACAGGAGCAGCAGTCGTCTTCGGACGACGGATTCTGCGACTACACCTTGAACACGTCGGAGAGTTCGGCTACTACTGGCGGCGGTGGCGGTGGTTGCGGCGGCGCCGTGGATTCCGACTATGAAACTTGCGGAGATTCGACCCCTAAGGTAGATGGGCGAAAATTTCTGAATATTTATTCGATTAGATTCATGATCGAGGCAATTGAAAAAAAACAGATAAAAGAAAACCTCTGAGTCCATAAAGTTCCTGAGTAAAAGGTAGATGTCATTCGCTATCAGAGCAGAGTATTTTTCTTCGGAGTTAAGTCGTCATTCTGGTCTTCCCATGGTTTCCATCATTTTTAAATCTCTACTTTGCATGCAGTTGAGTCGAACCTCTTATTCCAGTTGAACTTCAAGGGACCAACTGAATAATTGGACTTGGGGGAAACAAGCATGCCGTATTTTATTCGGGGGGAAAGAAAAAAATAATTGTAATTTTTTGATTTTCTGGGTCTTGAATTGCATCTTGGAACTTGGAGGCAAGGGTTTAATTAACCCAATGAGCCCATCACTATCTTCCAAAGAACATCAATGTACATTTTTATATCTTTTTCTGTTTCCTGTTTCAATAAAATAATGGCCAAAACGCCCCCCAGAAAATTCTAGCTATGAATGTTGTTGCGGAGATTCGAAGGTATGTTACAAAGAGGAAATAAATTGTGCAACCGATTTGGTTGGTTTACAACCGGGGTGCTTGGAAACACCCTATTTTAAGATGGTATATTTTCTCAGAGTTGTAAGGGTTGAGATTTTTGTAAGTTTTCCGAGTACTCAAGGTCCTCTCAGTACCAAAGTTTGAAACACAGTGTCAGTCCTTGCGCGGACTGGAAAAAGGAAAAGGGTTTGCCTTGTGGAAATTTCCACTGAGATTTTGTACTTGATTACAGTTTCCACTTTTTAAGTTGGGGTACTTTTTCTTTATTCTTGAGTTTTGGAAACTCTAGGGATTCAAGGACCAAAGATCCATTTAAGTTGTCGTGAGAGCAGGGGTGAAACCTAATTCTCACAGAAATAACCAAGGACAAGTTTTGGCAATCTGCCAAAACTCGTCTCCTTTATGGCTCAGTCTTTTTAAATTGCCGTTTTGGCGTTTCTCTTTGAAGCTTTAATTACTCAGAAAGCTGATATGAGAAATGGCTTGCAGTTTGTTCAAAACAAGAGATTTAATTTGCTATGCTTGGCTCTCTTTAAGGGGGGACTCACAAACATGTGCGACAAATGCAATGCATTGCTTTTTAGAAAACGCGGACAGGGAGTTGAAAAAAATTGCAATTCGGAGGTTTGAATCATCAAGGTTCTACTGTACAGTATTTGAAATGTATCTGTGCATTGCGTTTGAATTATGTTTCTGAAAGTGAGGCAGGTGGAATCTGTCGAGACATTCGAGGAAAACGTTTCGACAGCAATTGATTTTTTAAATTTCTTTTTTTTGTGTGTGTGATGAATTTCGAGTATTTGCTGATTTTTTTTTTTTTTTTTTTTTTTTTTTTTTTATTTGAAAAACGTGGTTTTTTAGATTAATTTTTTAATCTACTAAATTTTTTTGTGCTTTTTAGTCTTACTTGAAAAAACGTGGTTTTTTAGATTAATTTTTTAATCTACTATAATTATTAGAAAACGCGGACAGGGAGTTGAAAAAATTTGCAATTCGGAGGTTTGAATCATCAAGGTTCTACTGTACAGTATTTGAAATGGATCTGTGCATTGCGTTTGAATTAGGTTTCTGAAAGTGTGGCAGGTGGAATCTGTCGAGACATTCGAGGAAAACGTTTCGACAGCAATTGATTTTTAAAAATTTTTTTTTTTTGTGTGATGAATTTCGAGTATTTGCTGATTATTTTATTTAATTTTCCTTAGGAGGGAAGTTGCGGATATGACAAGGTTGGTTGGGTGGAGAGTCCCGTGGTGATCGCGACTATCGACGAGGCGCCCAAATGCGTCACGATCCACCACGTGAAGGCGGAAGTGTACGAGCCGCCGTCTTCACTCAAGGTGAGTGGCGGCGGCGGCGATGAAAACGGACTTTTCTGTTTATTTTGTCCTTTTTTTTTTAAAGAAAGGAAAACCCTGGATGAAGCGCAAGTGGCAATCCGATTGAATTGGAAAACAATTAATGTTCAAAACAAATTTCTTTGGCAAAAAAAAATTGACGTAAATTTTTCAAAAAATTAACTCGAAAGATGAGGCGTCCATTTCGCGGATTTTTTGGTGTGGGCCCATCTTTCCCTTCGGAATTTTTAAGAATGGATTTGGCATTGATTCCGGGGGTTGCCGCCATGAATTGCTTGCGAATTACACCATTTTCATCGACAGCCGCCACTTTGGATGGGAATGTGGCGGCTGTTGGTGAAAATGGCGGAATTACCGTGGAAGACGTGGAGGCAACCCTCGGAATTAATGCCGTGTCAAATTTCAAGATTTCTGAAGGAGACGCTGGGTTTTTGTGCCAAAAAATCTGTTGGATTGCCGAGTCGAGTTTTGAATGACGACCAGAAAGCTGTCAGGGTTACTTTTGCAAAAATGTTTTGAAAAATATGTCAAACAAAACTGCATTTTTTTTTCTTGAGCCAAGGAAGGTTTTTTTTTTTTTTCCCGAAGAATAGTATTTTTTTTTAGCTCATTCGTATGACGTTTCGATTTATATTCCGAGAACATTTGTTAGACCTTCTCTTTGAATGTGTGCAGATGTCGCATGCGTCATACTTCGATTTCTTCTTCGAAAGAAGGAATCTGGGTTAATGCAGCATTTTTTTTCAGCAGCCCATGTACTGAAGAACTTGATGAAATCAGCGAGTTTTTTGCACTTCACCGTATTTGATAATCGTTTTTTTTTTTTTCAATCTTTTTGGGTCATATGATGAGCAGCAACCGACTGGCGGCGAAGGAGTCAAGATGGTGGTGCCCATGGGCTTCAAGTTTGACGCAGACCCGAGAGAAACAAGTATGGCCGTGTCGTCGCGGGTTCCGAAACGAACCAAGAGGGCCGGAACGCCGCCCAAATCCAAGTCGTCCGTCCGAGAGGCCCTGTCCTCTGGCGGCACTGGCCCGTTTTGGAACCGGCGCCGCAGCTCGCATCCCGGGCCCGAGATTTCCCTTTTGTCTGAGCAGAGTCACGAAGACCTGGTTGCTGTCGATGTGAAACAAGTACATGTATTTTTGTGTATTTCTGTACCCAATTTTTTAAAATTTTTATTATCGGTTGAGAATGTACTCGATAGTTTTTTGTTTTGGTAGATTCCATAGTATTTTTTTTGCAGTCGGGAAAATTTCTTTTGTTTTGTGGACTGGCAGAAGTCTGAAAAATAATTTTGCGGTCTGACAAGATTCCATGAAATTTTTGCAGACCAGCAGAAGAATTTTTTTTCAATACTGTACCTGCGATGAAGTCCTTTCTGCTATTTCTTCAGTACCTGAAACCCTGTTGAATTTTTTGCGTTAAAATTGCGATGCTCCTGAATTTAATCCTTATCCGTTATTTATACGTCACTTCCCGTAAACTGATAAATGGTCATTTCTTCCAGTTGCTTTTTTGTGAAATCTCGTTTTTATCTTCGCTGTCTCTTTTTTTTTGGACAAATTTGTATTCGTGAGAATTCCAATCACCCTGAAATGACTTTTTTCCAGACCGAGGATGAACCGGATTATTACGGCAGCACGCGTTCCCGCAGGAGCCGCCACGAGGCCGAGCTGGCCCACAGGCCCAAAAGAGGCCCGAGGAGCAAAAGCCGCGGCAGGGCCGTTTCCGATGCCCTGTTGGACGTCATCACCATGTGCGGGCCTTGAACAGTAAATACAAACAAGCAACGACGACAAAAAAAACAAAGGCAGCAACAAAAAAAAGGAGAAAACGAACCGGCAACTGAAGACCTTATTTTTTATTAATTTGTAGTACAGCTCAAAAAAAAAGAACTTAGTGTCATTCCAAGAAGAGAAACGAACGGGATTTGTTTTATGTGTTTCCTCAACTGCTCTGTGAATACATTCTTTTGCCAGCAATTGATAACGTTTCCCAAAGTATTTTTGCTTTTTTTTTGTGGCATGTGTCTTCCGTGAACTAAAACAAAAAAAAAGAAACCAGCTTTGTACAAAAGAAAGAAAGACAAAGAAGGAATTGGAAAGGAGAGGACCAATGGTGTTGTTAAGTGAGCTTTTTTTTGTTTGTTTGTTGGGAAACTCGAGGAGACGAAAAAACACAATGACGCAAAGGAGAAACTCGTGAGACTGAGTGTGTGTACAGTATATATATGTATATTTTTTTCTCTCTCTGTGTGGACGACTGAAATCTGCTTATTTTTCAGTTTGACGGAGGAAATGTTTTGCTTCTGGGATGCACTTGGTGGGATTTTTTGTCTTGTTTTTGTTTGTTTTGAGCACAGGTGTTCCAGACTAAGAGGTTTCTAGGAAACAAAGCTTTGTTTTTTTTCCCTGGTGTTTTTTCTGAGTGCAGAATATATTAATGATTCCTGACGTGTTCTGAGTGTTGAAAGGATGAAAATAAGCTTAATCAAGTACCAGGTGGACCTTGTTTCTCAAGATTGTGATGAAAAAATAATGGTAGGGATGCAATTTTTAAAAAGTTTTGAAAGTCTAGGTTTGCCTCACACTTGAATATTGTTTGAAATTTTTGACAGGAACATTTTTTTAATGAAAACAATTGAAATTCAAGAGATAAAATTGTCAAGAAATGTTTAAAGTTTTAGATTTGCCTCACACTTGAATATTGTGGTAAATTGTTGGCAGGAAATTTTTAAAATCAAAGCAATTGATATATAGTGTTTAAATTTGAATTCTGGTGTCTTTTATTCTTGAGTTGTTGCAGTTTTTCAGTCACTAGAAATGAGGTTTACATCTTATTTGATGATATGATTTCATCAAATTTCTAGTTAAAAAGATGGAGGTACTTTTATTACTTGAGGGCATGTGGTACTTGAGTAAATGCTGTATTTTGCTTATGAAATTGAATATGTGTATGTGGATTTATTTATTTTTGCAGGAATTTCTGTCTGTGAGATCTTTTTTTGCGTGGATGAGATGGCACTGGCCAAGTACCTTGGAGTGGACAAGTTGCGGTTCTTTTTGGACACAATAAAGCAGAAAGGTGGTGTCAAGGCATCCTTGTACAATATGTACAGGTAGGGTTTTGAGATTTAAAATCCTCATTTATACTCAATTTTGGTTGTGCAAGATGGCAATTTTTTGAGCTTCCTGAAAATGTTGTGCTGACAGGATTATTTGATCAACTGAGTCTTATATACTTGCCAATGTGAAAGAAACAGTCTTGTAAAAAATAAGATTAGTTCTTGAAATAAGGTTATGTTGCGCTGAAGTCCGCTGTGCAATGATAGTAAAATCCTTTTATAAGAAATCCTTTGGTAAAAGATTCATTGCATAGCAGCAATGATTGAAGTGTTTGTAATCAATTAAAATTACATTATGGCTTTTGAGCAGAAAATGAAAAAGGAATTCATTGTAAGCAGTGATTTGTTGAACAAGATTTTCCTGTACTGTATTTCTGCAGAAAATGTTGAGCACAGTCCACATTTTTGTAAGTATTATTGAGTTGAAGTAGGATGGAAAAATAATAAAAATACAATTGAATGTACTGAAAATGCCAGATGACCATCTCAAGATTTTTGTTCATTTCAGAGAAGAGATCAAACTTGCGTGCCAAAAATATCGACGTATTAAATTTATAATTTTTGAATAGAAAAAAGAATCTGTTCTCGATTTTAGTTTGATTTTTTTCGCTGCCCAATTCCGTGTAGTATTTTAATGAATTTTTTTTCTTTCGAAACTGACGAATTTTAATTTTTGGATGTTGAAGATGTGTTTTTTTTTCGGGGAGGGGGAAGCTCAGGGTTGCCATTGACATGTACACGGTTGTGCAAAAAAAAAAAGAAAAATGCAATTGTTCATCCTTTCCTTTTCTGTTTTCAATCGCAGGGAGGGTGACTTGAAACTGGGCAAGCTGGTTGGAGTGGACGAGTTCGGCAACAAGTACTTTGAGAATCCGTACTACTTCTTTGGTTCGTTTCTTTCTTCGTTATTTTTAAATTTGCATGACTTGTTTGAATATGCTTACGATTTTTTTTTTTTTTAAGGCCGGAATCGGTGGGTAGTGTATCCACCGAGAGTTGGAACAGATTTTGATGCCTCCATGATCACGCCCAAGTGGTACGGATGGTTGCACCACAAAACCGACCTTCCTCCTACTGTTGTAAGATTTGCATTTTATTTGCGAACTCAAAAGTAATCCTTGTCATCTGCAGTAACAAACAATATATTTTTATTCATATTTTTTATTATTATAAATTTATTTTCTTTCATTTTAAATCAATTCGTTCATATTTTATCGATTAATTTCCAATCCTCATTTTGTCATTTTGTTTATTCATATTTCATTAATTTGCTTCTATTTATATTTCATCAATTTATTTTTATTCAGATTTTTTCAGCTTATTTTGATAAATATTTTATTATGTTTCATCAACTTATTTATTTTTTCAGATTTTATTATTTTTTATGTACAGTACTTTATTTCATATTTTGTCAATTTATTTTCATTCATTGATTTATCTATTTATGTTTATTCATTTCCTATAAATTTATCTTTATTCATATCTTAGTAGTGTATTTTTATTCATATATCAAACTTGTTTATCTTCCCATTTTATCAAATTATTATTATTTTATCAAGGTTATTTTATTAATTGAAAAAATTGAATATACTGTACTGTATTTGTACTGTACTTGAATAAAGGTGGATGATTCCCAATTGAAAGAAGGATCAGGCACCCAGAAAAGAAATTGTATGCAGAGAAAATTGTTTTACACAAAATAGAGAGAGTCTTCCTGTATTTATATTTTGTTGATTTACAATTTGTAAAAGTTTTTTCATCAATTACAGTAATACTGTAGTAAATGTAATGCCTGATGAAAAGTAATTGTTTATTGTTGAGCTATTGTTCATTTGTAAAATAAATGGAAAAGGGCTTCATGACATTGATTTCTTGTGCTTTTTATGTCCAGGAAAAGAGGAAGGACTATGAATGGATCAACAAGGCACCAGCATGCAACATGACTGGAACCCCAGAAGCCTACATGCCCTACAGCACCACTCCTCCCAAAGTTGTGGCTTGGAAACCATCCAAGAAGGCCTGAAAAATACAATGTGTTAGGCTAAAAGTGCAATTGTGTAATCTGCTGGAAACAGTCACCATAGTTCTCTTCAGCTCAGTAAAAAAAAAGTAAAAGGTTTTGTCTTTGTAGAAAACTGTGTCTGAGTACAAATTACTATTTTTGTTTTGTTTGCTTTGTGCATGTTCTGATGATGCTTAAATGTTTGCTGTGCTCAGATTATGTAATTAAAGGGTGGGGTAAAAAAAAGGAATGGCACTCAAGGGTCCACTGAGCTGGGGGTCAGTGATCTCAGTGATGGTTGCAGTGGGGTATTACTGGTGGAGCTCACATGACCCAGCACCAGGGAATAGCCAGGGTGAAGCACTCAAGAAGATCCTCCAGAGTCTGCTGAAGATAGAAGAGAAGAACCCATTGGACCACACCCCCAGGGTTGCAGTGGGCTATGGTGGCTGTCTGGATGTGGTGGTGGATGCCAGTGATGTCTTCAACTTCACAGACAGAGACCCTGTGTGGTTGCCAAAGCACCATGGTTCCATCCAGTCTTGGAAGGAGCTGGAAGAGGTCTTCTTGTACTTTTTCCAACACGGAGCTGCTGGAGAGTAAGACTTGACACTGACCACCTATTTTATGGGTGTGGAATGGGGAACCATTTTGATTCTTGACTGATGGGTCTTTCTGTATGTCAACAGGAGGTTTGTTGCCAATAGTACCACTTGGCAGGAGGTCCTAATGGCTGTGGAGAGGATCAAGGGCAGGGAGACTATTGGTGGGAATGCCCCTGTCATGGCTGCCAGGTTCAGGAAGGAGGGTTGCCAAGTGCTGTTGGGAGCAGAGTTATCAGCCAAACTGAGAGCCAACTTTCCTGCAGATGTGAAAAGTATGTGTTTTCTTTTGTCTTTAAAAAAAAAGAGCCTGAATATAACCACAGCTCTTGAATGATTTATTTTATTCCTTTTATTGTGCTTGGATAACAGCCATTTTATTCAATGTTTTATGGCCTTGTTAAAATTGGTGAATTTTTTTCTAGTCAGCTCTAGTGGGAGAGAAGAGGATGATGTCCATCTCATCATAGAATACCCCTTTGCAGACACCTGGGGGAAATATGTGGCACCAAGAGCAAATAGGTGAGCCATACTATTTATGTATGTGTTCATGTTGAAGAATGTTGTTGTTGTTTGCAGGTTCATAATACATAGTGATAGACAGAATCCAAAGGTTTCTGCACTGGAGCCCTTTCATGCAGCCCTGGAAAGCTTTACTGCAGATGTTTTCATTGTCTCTGGGCTGCAGATGATGGACAACTTTCCATTCCCTGAAGGTAAATACTGTATGTTGACTCAGAAAAATAAAAGTTGGGTTTTCACCTGTCAAACCCTGATCTAGTGCCATTGTTCATCCTGGCACTAAAGTGGGAGTTTTTCATCAGAGGAAAATTCACTTGAGGGCTTCAACTGCAGGCTTTTTTGGAGAACATTTATGCCATTGCTCCAGTTTCATGAAAAAGAAAGCCACACAAATCAATTTGTGGCTCAAATGTACCTGTTTTTATTTCACTCGAATTCATGTGAAAGTGCGGAATATATTGGATTTTTGCACAAATTGTGTCAAGTGCAAAAGTGGAACTGTTCCTTGCAGGTTTGTATCAACCTTGCAATGGTAGTACACAATTCCAAGTTCAGGTGGAGTTATTTTTAATTGTTTTAATAAGACTATCCCAGTTGTTGAGATGCTCTTTGCTGTGGAGGAAATTCAAATATAATCACCCAATTGCTTGAAACAGAATTCAGAAATAGATTTTTTTTTTCAAATTATCTTCAACATGTGCATGTGATTCTCAGTAAGAACCTGATGATATCCATAAAAATATGCCTTGATTTCTCTTATTTTGGCCAATTTTTCCTTCAGGCCAGGAATCCTTTTGTGGTACTAAATTGACGGTTGACTAATGAAAATCGTGTCAAATTTCTGTTTTATTTTTGGCAGGTGAAAGAGTTGAGAGGATAATCAAAATTAGGGAGCAGATGAGGAACACGTCAGCTGGTACAAGAGTGCACTTCGAAATGGCGTCCTTTACTGATGAGAACCTGCTCAGGGATTTGGCACAACATATTATCCCTTATGCTGATTCCCTGGGAATGAATGAGCAGGAGTTGCCGATTCTTTTTGCTGTGCTTGCCAAAGAAGACTTGGCATTCGTTTCGGATGCGTATCCCAGAATTGCCAATACTCTAGACACCATGAGGCAGGTGTTCGGGTGAGTTTTTAGCATGATTATTGTCATTATTTTTTGTCCAAGTGCAAAAAAAAATGTGGTGTGCAGTTTTTTGCAGGGAACGGAGGAAGTTGAAGGGCGCAGGAAGTTGACCAGGTTGCATGTGCACACCTTGGCTTTCCAGGCCATCATGGTGTCCAAGGGGTCTGCCTGGAAAAACACAATGGCTGCTACTGCAAAGGCCTCACTCACTGCCAACCGCCATGTCTGTGGTTCAGAAGAGGTGACCAACTTCACCCACAATGTTGATTATTTGTACCAGCATACTGTATTAGGAACCCAATGTGAAGGATACAAGGATGTTCTGTGGGTCCCTGCTGACCAAAAAACAAAAATAATGATGGCTTTTATCAAGTACCATGTGCAATTACTGAATTTCCCCCAGAAAGAAATGTTTGCACAAATGGAAGAGATGCAGAAATCCCTGGCAGTGTAGAATAATTTTAAAGTAATATCAAAAAATTGGTTCTTGGTAGTTTTCAGTGCTGGTTTTTTTGTTTGTTTTCAAAAGGATGACTTGCTAAAGGGCATGTGACTCTTTGTGGTTGAACCTTGTCTGGAAAAGAAGCAAAATATTTGAGCTGGGGAAGTTTTGTGTCAGGGAAACAATCATTTTTAGTGAGGGAAAAGAAAGAAAAGGTACAGGATATTTTGATTGTTGATATTCTAGGAATTAAATTGCTTCTTAGATAAATTCACAGGATGATAAACCTGGAGCCAAGGGGTTATTTGCCAAATTAGTCTTCAACTTCCTTTCAAAATGCATCAAGGTACACTTTTTATTGCTCTTCTCTTTCCTGTCTCAATAAAATAATAGCCAGAAAGGCCCCCCAGAAAATTTCAGTTTTGAAGGTTTGAATTGGAGAGCCTTTGAGTTAGGGAGGTTCTTCTAATGCTTCATTTTTGAGGAAATGTGGAGGAAAACCTGTAAAAATTTGATAGAAGGAGGTATTTGACTTGAGGATGGTTGATGTTTAACTTTAGCACAAACAAACTTGCACAAAATTGTTTGTGTCCCATTTTAAACCCTTGTATCGCCAACAAAATTTGGATAAAAAACCAACTGCTTAAAAAACATAGTGCAAAAAAAATTATGTATGTTGCACAAGGTACCACTGTATTTGGAAATTTTTGGTGTTTGGGACCAAAAGTTTTCATATGAGTCACTTTTTTGTTTAAGAAAAATGTTGTCTAGCAGGGACTCACTGTATCTGTTGAGTGTTTCTTCTTGGCAAGTGTACACCAAAAGAGCTTGAGTCCCATTTGCATTGGAAGGTTTCAGATTTCAGTGCTTGAGGCATGGGCCCATTATTAGAGCCATGCAAGCAGGTTGATGACACCATGGCAGTTCCCATGTTCTGACTTGACTTGAGGCACCCAAAGGCCAACACACATGGCAAGTTTGTTAACTGCTAGCTCAGAGCTGGTGAACCCACCTGTATATACTGTACATGTATGATGTACCCTTGAAAATCCTCATTCTTTAACCTCTCACCTGCTGTTCTGTGAGGTTGAATGAACCACTGTATGTTTTGTTTGTCTGTGTTGAGCTTTTCTAACTGTGAATTATGCATAGCCTATGACTTTTTAATGTGCTGGTGGAAAAACAAATTATGTGTTTTAATAAAATGGTTTGCAGGTGGATGTTGGCAAAGCCAAGTTGATCATGGATGAGTCCTTTACCACTTCTGGGGATGAGACTGGATCCAAGGTGTACCTGGATGAGGAGCATCCAATTGCCTGCTGGGATGAAGGGGACCTGGAAATTTGCATTGCCCCAGTGCTGGTGTGCACTGAAGTGAGACAAACAGCTGGTGGAGGAGACAACATTTCTGCTGGGGGTCTAGTCTTGCAAATTTAAACCTTGTTTTTCCAGCCATATAGTCAACATGTGAAAGTGTTTTTGTTCCCTTTTTCTTTTAGTGGTGATTTCCTGCCCTCCATTCCAACTGTTCCTTCCTCAACTTCTTTATTATGACAAAAACATGTGAAAAAATTTGAGAAATTTTATTTTGTACACTTGAAAACTTGAGTTATGATGGGGGGTACTGGCATTGGTTTGATGCTGAGGCTGTGGGCTTGTTCATTTGCATCTCCCTTCTGGTGTTCTCTCTATATTGCGTGATACATGATTGATTAGCTGGTGTACCAAAATATATGGAGTGTAATAAATTCTTAGTTCCCCCCCCCTTGCATCAGAAAATGGAGAAGTTCCTTGAATACTAGAAAATCAATTTGACAACATTTCTTTCATGGATCACAAAGTGGTCTACACTTCAAAAAAATCACACACAGCAGTAACACCAAGCACTTGTCAAATATACGGGTAACTATGTAGAAGAAATTTCCATCAAAAGAATAACTCCGTCTGTCTAGTAGATGCCGTGAAAAACTTGGTCAATCTTCTGCTTTTCCTTGTCAGAAAAGTTGAGGATGCTCTGGATTGCCTTCAAATGCCCGCTTTGATTGTCCCGGTCAGTGAGAAAGTAGAACATGGCTGACTTGAGGAACTGAAGAGTGACATCTGCATCATACATGGGTGCTGACATGGCCTTGGACTTGACTTCCTGTTTGGAGCCCTGAGGCACTGGTGCTGCCATGTCATCACTGCTTGTCTCTGCATCTCTCGTGAATTCCCTCAGTGACTGTTACAATCAGAGAAAAACAAAGGAAATTCTTCACAAGGAAAAGTACTCTTTATAACAAAAATCCAATGTTGTCCTCAAGAAAGTACTTGTTTTTATGAATAATTTGTTCATTTTGAGACACACAAATTGGAAATACTGCCAACCACAGAATTTGCAGCTTATGTTACTTTATCAAGTATTTTACTTTGATTTGTAAGAAAAATGCATCCTCCAAAAATAAAAGATTTGTCTAAAAATAATTGTATTTCCTTGTGAGAATCATGTCTGTAATATATGGTACATGATTCATTACTGTATAATAATTTGAGTTGATATGTAAATGAGAGAAACTCTGGGTGCTCAACAAATAAAATGATCCAATACTGAATTGCCCAAGTTCCAGATGTGAGTCAACAAATCAGGTGAAAAAGCCCTTATACTTTTAATACCACTTTTCTGTCAAATCAAATCCCTCTCAAAGCAGAAAAGCAAAAAGGGAATGCAATTTCAAGAGACACATAAATACAAACACAAACTACTCATGTGTAAAATAAAATATAAGCAAAATGCAGCAGGCAAAACCACCAGCAAAACAAACCTTTCTGAGGGCAAGGATCCACAAGGACTTAGCAGCATCCACGCTCACTAAACTCCCCTTAGCTGAACTCATCGCCTTGCAAAACCAAAAGCAAATAATCGAAAGAAAAAAAAAGAAACAAGAGAAACGAAACAAAAAAATGTTGTAAGTCAACTCAGGGAAATAAGATAAGGGCAGTCTCAACCTGTCCCCAACAGCCATACGAATAATAAGCGAGAAAACCAAAGCACATCAGTATTATTGCACAGATGCACGTCATGAATAAAGAGCTGCTAATGTCACATGGTTCATCAGCTCCATCATCATCAGCACTTGCCTTCAGCTTGTCCAGTTCTGTTAGAGCTGCTTCCAGGTCCTGTTTCAGCTTCACTTGCTCCTCATTGTCTTTCCTCTCCAACTCTCCTTCCTGCATTATATTAACATTTGACAAGAGAAAAAATACAATTGAAAATATGAAAACAGTTTTTTAAAAGCCTCAAACTTCTGAAACAAGATCTTACTTGAAAGTTCACTTCAAGGTATTTCAATTTATGCATAATTTTTATTCTTTATTACTTACTGCATTGCATGACACATGCATCATCTGAACAAATACTCAGGTGTTCATATCAATTCATGCATAATTTAGGTTCATTATTTTATCACTCATGTACATGGCCTTCAATTGATGAAGTTCACTTCAAGGTACTGTATTTCAATTCATGAATAACTTGTATTCCTTTTTTTCATGACTCGTTCATCTAAAGAAAATTACTGAATTATGTGTTCATTCACTTCAATATACAGTAATAATGTACTTTGATTCAAGCATAATTTTTGTTCATTATTTTAGAAGTCATATGCAGCATGCATGGCCTTGAATTGTTTTGAAAGCAAGGAGAAATGTTAATTCAAGCTACAAAATCTAAAAAAAATTTAAATTCTAAAAATATAAATTCAGACCCATGTATTACTTTAAATGAGAACTTCACAATAAGCTTCTCAAATGTCACAAGTTATTTTTTGTGGTATTTAATATATTATGATGATTTTTAAAAATGTATATACTTGCCAGAAACAATAACCCCAAGTTGCAAGTTACAATTTCCTTCAATTGAACAAATTAGGCCAAAGCATTTGAAGAAATGAAAGATTCTGATATAATTCTATGCTGAGTTGTCAGGGAAAGCAAAATGTCTGACCTGGTTCACTTGAAGCTCAACTGTATCGATCACAACATCTGTTTGCACATCAGAGTCCATGGTTTCCTTTGGAGGGCCATCTTTGTTTTCTTGGACCAGCTGCCAGAGCCTGGCTTGCCTGTCAAAAATCATTAATCACTCTGGATATATAAAAATGGAACTAAAGGAAAAAGGAATGTCACTTTTGAGCTTCTCAAAAAAATCCATAAAACATGTGTCTTTTACCAGCAGATGTCACTATATACTGGTGACAGTATTTTATTTAGAGGGACACACTGGATTTAATTTTTGACAATGCCAAATGTAATTTTTTTTACCTGATCACTCATCACAGATTTTATTTTTCTGTGACATGTGAGTTCATTTATTTGAAAAAACCTTCATCTGGTTCATTTTCTCTATTTTACATTTTTTAACTATTTAAGGAAGAAAATTATTTCAGATGGTGAAAATGTGTCTGCATTGTCATTATTTGAAGAAAAGCCAACTTTTATCCTTGTCATCAGATAATTAAAAATGCTATTGTCTCTCCAAAATTCCAGACAAAACATAAAAGACTTCATTGTTATATTTTTGATGAATTAGGCATTCTAAAGAAAATTTCCCACAGACCAGTAAAAAAAAACTTTCTGATGCAAACCACAGGACTAAAAATAAAAAGTATATTTAATTTAATGACATTTGCCAGTTCAAAATGATTTTAAGAAAAATAGGTGATGAAAAAATTCACTCATTCTGCGACTGCTCCAGCTTGTCCAGCAGGTCCTCCACCTTGTCATTGTGTCTGGCCCTGAGTGCCTCCATCTCCACACTCTTGTCGGCCACCGCCTGGGCCAGCTTCTTGCCCCACTCGGCCTCACAGTCCCTCAACTTGCCCTCGACCACTTCAAAACTGACAAAAAAGTCGTCATCGTCGTCATCAACAGCAGCTGGGGTATGACGCCCCAAATTGGACAAAAGACCGCCACCGCAGCCGCCGCCGCTGGCATCAGGAGACGATAAAGTGGCGTCCTTGTCGTCGTGGTTTTGATGGGCGTCGTCCATGATGAGGCCCGAGTCGGCGAGAGACGACGGCGGCGGTTTCACTTCGACGACGACGACGTTCTTTTTATTGTCATTATTATTATTATTATTATTTTTGGACGCCACGAGAATAACAGACTCTTCTTCTTCTTCTTCTTCGTCGCAGTAACTGTGGGCCACGGATGCCGGAGGCGAGGTCAAGGTCAGGACGAAGCCGCAATTGAAACAGGTCAAGTCAGGCAGGAGGTGTTTCAGGGAAGGGGTCGTCTTCTTTCTCTTCTTCTTCTTCTTCTTCTTCTTGTTCTTCTTCGTCGACGAGTCACTCTTCTCATCATCTTCATCATCATCTTCAGCAGTGAAACTGCGTAATTTCACGATTTCCTGGGTCAACTGAGACACTTCCGTTCTTCTCCTGACGACTTCCTCGTTGAGTTTCTTCAACTGCGCCTGTTTGTGATGAATAGAATATTTATTAAATATCGTTGTCACGAATTTTCCAGAAAAAACAAATTTCATTTTTTTAGGCCCAATAATTTGTTTTAAAAATGCATTTTCACGATATATTGCAACGGATCCATGCCATTTGTTTCATCCTGAAATTTTGAGAAAAAAAATGTGAAAATTTTATTTTTTCGATTCGAATAAGGAACCAATTTTTTGGTGCCAAAAATTCATAATATATATATATTTTTTTCAACAAATTTTTACGATTCGGTGTAACGAATTTATTAATTTGTTTTCACTCTGATGACGAATTTCCCACAGTTTTAAAAACAGTTATTGAAAATCATGGTCCCTTTTCTTTTGAAGGAAAAAATGCCTAAATTTTTAAATACTGTACAGAACTCATCAGCTTTGAAACTTTTGAATTACATCATTTGTTTTGGAAGAACTTCATGACTGATTTCCCCACAAAATTCCAGTCTAAAAATGTTTTGAAAACCCATATGAACCTCCATGCAACCAATTTTCAGTTACAATGAACTTTCCATCAGGTCCCCTCCCTTGGAGTTTGTTGTAATGAGATTTCAGTGTACTCACAGTATAATAAGTTTTGAATTACATCATTTGTTTTGGAAGCACTTCACAATATTCAAGACTCATTTCCCCACAAACTTTCAGTCTGAAAATGTGTTGACAACCATATGAATCTCCATACAACCAATTTTCAGGTACAATATGAACTTTTCATATCATGTCCCCTTGAGTTTGTTGCAACAAGATTTTTCTGCAATTTGTACAATAAACTGAAAATAAAAAATGCGTTACACAATATCACAGTTATTGCTGCTGAGCTTGAACTTCAAAAACAATAAAATAAAACTCCAAATTTTCTTGTAACGGGTACTTCGTTGTAAAAATAATTCAACACCTTGAGTTGACGAATGGTCCTCGAAGCCCTCTGAGTGGGCGTCAAGTATTCCCCGGGATCCCCTGCAGCGCCATCTCTGCCACGCAAATTATCACACTGATGAACCACGTAGCCCTGCTTCCGACCACCACCACCACCACTGGTACCACCCAGGACACCACCACCACGCATCCACGACGAAGTGCTGCCATTTTCAGAGTACTCAGAGCAGCTGGGGACTCGGTCAAAGAGCCGCGGTCGGATGACGGACAAGCGATGTCTTCCTGCAGAACCAGGCACGTTGAAGGACTGGAAAGAAAAAAAAAAGTGTTGTTACAACGAAAGATTCGTTATTGCGAAAATTCAACGAAAAAATACGCTTCAATTTAAATTCCGTTGGACGTGGAAACGTTTTTTTTTTTCTGGAAACTACAGGCAATACTAAAAGACGTTCAGGTTAAAACAAAAATCGTAGGATAAAAATGCGTAGAAAGCTTCAACCCTCACTAAAAGGAAGAACTGTTACAATGAATATTCTAACACGAAAATTGCCTACGAAATCGGTTGAAAAAATTTCACTTGAAATCTATTGCAATAGATAAAATACCCGATACAATGAAAAGCTCAATTTACTGAAAATTCGTGACATCAAAAATAGCATTCCAGTGAAAACACTGTCATATACTGTAATTTTAAAGTTTGCCAAGTAGAAACCCCCAATAATGCATTCGAAAAATCCGTGATAATCAAAAATTCATTAAAATATGAAAACCGTATTACGACGAAAAAATACAGTTTTTTGATGAAAGAATCAATACTGTACTGTACACAAAAAACCGTGATAACAAAAAGGAAAACATTCATAACAATCAAAACTTCATTACAATTGAAAATTTATTATATTGAAAAATCCGTTACGTTAAAAACAAAATGCACCGCAAATTCGTGATACAGTATTGGAAGATCCATTACAATTACATTGAAAATTCAGTATAACGAAAACAGAATGCTGTACCATAATAAAAATTGAATAAAAAACTATTTTTCAATAACATAAAATCTTGATACATGAGGAACAACATGCACTGAAAATCCGAGATAACAGAAAATTCATCAGTATAAATAACTCCTATTATAATAAAATTCCAGTTTAATAGAAAATGTATTAATATACAGTACAATAATGGAAAAAATTGTTAAGATATACCTCATTACACTGAAAATTGGGAATAAATGGGACTTCATTACAATGAAAAATCGATCAGAATGAAAAATCCCTCTAAGGGATGATGAGTTGATGACACATCCACCACAATGTAAACCCCTTACAATGAAAAGATTTGTTATGATTAAAAAAATCAATACCATACATATAGTGTGTACTAAAAATATTTTATAATAAAAAATCCACCTCAATGATCCTACAAAGACCATTTCCATAACAGTTAAAATTTGGTCACCATATAAATATTTTAATGAAAACATTCGTTACAATGAAAAATCTGTTACAATGAAAAATCTGTTACAATGAAAAATCTGTTACAATGAAAAATCTGTTACAATGAAAAATCTGTTACAATGAAAACTCGTTACAATAAAAACCTCTTTACAATAAAAACCCCGTTACAATAAAAAATCCGCCACATTGAAAATCCCGTTACAATTAAATACCCGTTACAATGAAATACCCGTTACAATGAAATACCCGTTACAATGAAATACCCGTTACAATGAAATACCCGTTACACTAAAAACCACGTTACAATGAAAACCTCGTTACAATGAAACATCTGTTCGAAAAATCCGTTTCAGTCAAAAACCCGTTACAATAAAAAACCGTTTTCAAATGAAAAGATCCGTCACAATAAAAAATCTGTTGCAATGATAATAATTTCAGCCACTACATCTAATCAAGATAATTCATCATTACAAGGTATATACACCGTACGTACCTGACTTCTCGTCAACTTGTTCATTCCACCAACTCCTGTCGTCGTCATCGTCCTCTTCCTCGTTGTCGTCGGCGTCGTTGGAACGTGACAATGACCCGATGATGACGACTCAGCCGCGAAGAAGAACCGATCAAACACTATACAGTATATACCGACAATAATGATGCCGATGATGATTATATTATTCCACAATCCACACATCAGTTTCATTTCATATTATAATTGTATAATAATCATCATAATTACCAGCAGCTGATGCGGACGACACTTGATTCACACCACGAGTCTCATCATCGCAGTCCACTTGATCCAAAATCATCGACGACGACGAAGTGATTGTTCCTCCGCCACCGGCATTTCTCACGCTCAGCTTCGGAATCCTACTCTTATTCACAACACCACCGATGATGGTCCTACTGCCAATAACACCAGCACTGATGCCACTCACACAATGGTTCTTCTTGTTACCACCAACATCATCATCATCACCACCATCACCGATGCTACAACAACTGCCACGACCACTGAAACACTTCTTCGTCGTCGTCGTAGTCAACTGCTGCTGGGACTCGTCGTTTTCGTCGCGGGACAAGAGCAGCAAGTCCTCCAACTGCTCGTTCGCCTTGCAAATCAACTCCTCGGCCATTTCTTTGGTGTCTTATCTCGTCGATGATGATGATAAGAAGCAGCAGCGAAGATAACACATGGTATCACAATCGGGTGTTGAGAGACTAGATATCGAAAAACCGGAATTGTTCCGCGCAAGCCACGAAGTTATTGACACCATCTGGAGTTTTCGCAGCACCCAAGAAAACGTGTATATAAATAAATATATATTGTACGTATCTATACAAGATGAAACATATGTTACCATCGTAAGAAAAGGCGGGAAAAGAACGAAAGCACAATAATAACCGGATCTAATATGTTGTCAAACATCTCCAAGTCAAACTTCATAAAAAGAGAAACAAAATTCAAGTTACAGGAGCTGAATTATTTATTTTTATTTTTTGCAAAAAAAAATTATAATAAGGAATTGTAATTGGTGATGACTCCGCTTATTCCCCCCTCACATTGAGTCAATTGTCAGGAAATACAGTGACACCCCCACATGCAGACACCTTGACATGCAGAAAATTTGACATAGGGACACTTATTTTTCAATTAAAAAATTAATAAAAAAAGGCCACACATACGGACGCCAACTCAACATAGGGACATTTTGTGAAAAAAATGGCAAAGAAGTTTCAGGCCAAATTACAAGGAACAGATATTTCCCACCCTAAAATTAACGCAATAACAGTTCTTCATCTTTTTTTGCACCAATTTACCACCCATTTAGCTAATTTAAAAAATTACCTTCAGCATAATAGAGGGACTTCATTCTCCATTTTTCACTTGAATGTTATTTTTACAGAGAATGCCAACATTTCTATGTACCGTACAGTGGTATCATCTATATTCAATTCCACTAATGTCCATATTGTGTTGAAATATATTGATGGAATCAGTTTCAATTGGTAGACAATTTTTCTTTTTCATGGAATTATGGTTGACTATTTAGTCCATAAAACACCAATTGAAAATTATATAATGTAAGTCTAAGGGAAAATGAGACTCAAGTTAGGGACATTTCAACTTAAAGACACCAATTACATCTGCATCTTGGGGTCTCACTTGTATTTAATTTTGACAACAGGTTTACTCAGTTTAGGATTTCAAAATGATCAATTACAACATAGTCAAACGTCAAATAAGGGACCAGCAAAAAAAAATTCACAAGTTAGGGAGGTTTCAAGTTGGAGAAACAAACTTATTGGGGGGGGAGGGGATAAAAAAGAAAGACAGAAAGAATTACAGGAAATTTTAATTGGTGATATTCTTGGCCTTAAATTTGCTTCTCAAATGAATTGACAGGATGCTAAACTCGTAGGCAAGGGCTAATTTGTCCAATTAATATTTCACTTCCTTTCAAAACGCATCCACTTACATTTGCATTGCTTCTCTCTTTCCATCGTCAAGAAGAAAAAAATACAAGGAAGACCGTCAGAAAATTCAAGTAACAGAGGTTTTCGAGGGAAGCCTTAGAGTTAATAACGGATTACAGTATTTGAGTTTGAACCAGATAAGTGATGGTTAAACTGTGGCTAGAAAAAGATGAAGGAAGAAGACCTTGATACATTTCGAAAACAGAACAAAAAAAAAACCAATAAAATATGCTTTCACGCACTATAAGGAATTTTTCGAACAATTAAATTTCCCAGAATATTTCCACATATCTGAGTTTGCACCAGGTTATCGTCGATAACATGCTTTCAGAAAAGCAATAAAACCGGAAAAGCACACCTTGATAAACACTGTACAGAACAAGTAAATCAAATTTTTTCACAAACATACATTACAAAATGAACCCCCGGAATTTGTTTCTCTGATAAGCAGGCGTAGATTAAATATTGTCAAAAAACCAAGAAAATATGCGTTCATGCATCTTAGAAGAACAAATCACATTTTGACTAAATTAATAATATACTATGATCAAATAAAATACTATTTTGACGAGCACCGCAAGAATAAACAATGAAAGAGAGTTTTTCGGAGTACTTCCTCACAACATATAGAGAAAGATTAAGAGTTTCCGCATCAAAGCGAAAGATTAAGAGTTTCCGCATCAAAGCAATGAGCACATGCACCAAAATTTCGTTCTAACGACTCGCTTTAAGAAATTCGTTCAATTCGCAAAATCCTTTTATCAAGATACCGCGAACTCTTACAAGAAGCGCGTTATAGACTCGAAAGTTTAATCTTGAAGAATTCAAGATAAAAGTTCCCCCCATTCCTCGACATTAGAATTTCAAAAACTGTCTTCGTGAAGTGTGCATAAACTATCTAAAACCCCGCGACAAACTGAGCTGATGACGAGAAAGAACGCGTCATCAACATCGCAAAAGTCGGTGTTTCTGCGATGATACAGCAGATGAATAAATTCTCGACATACAGTCAGCAATTCTGACACGTCACTAAACTGTTTCATCAATTTGACGCACACAAGAACACACAACATTATCAACAACGAAGAAGAAGAATAATCACGCATATCACAGACGATCGAGAGAATAAGAACAACAATACGTACAGTACTGTACAAATACACCCAACAAACATCAGGAGCATAGCAAATATTCTTCGCCAAAACTCAGATTAGCGAACGTAGCCCCACATATTTTCTTTCTTTTCACGATGAGAGACACGAGTTTCCGCGATAATAGTCGTAATATAGCAAATGAATAAATTATCGACGAACAGTCGACATTTCTGAGTTCTGGCACGTCACACTGTTTCATCAAGTCGACGCACACAAGAACAAACATCATCATCAACAATGAAGAAGAACAATCATGCATTTCGCAGACGATCGCGAGAATAAGAACAACAGTAAGTTCAAGTGCGCTCCACGCAGAAGCATAGCGAAGATTCTTCGCCGAAAATCAGATTAGCGATGAACGTAGCCACGGATATTTTTGCTTTTCACGATGAGAGACACGAGTTTCCGCGATAATACAGCAGATGAATAATAAATTCTCGACATATAGTCGACACTTTTGACACGTCACACTGTTCCATCAAATCCGTCACACACATCATCAACCCCGAAGAGCAATAATTCACGCAATTCACAGACCATCGAAAGAATAAGAACAGTAAGTTCAATGCACCCAATACAGAAACACAGCGAACATTCTTCGCCAAAACTCAGCTCAGCGAACATAACCACAGATATTTTCACCAGAGAAAGACGAATTTTTTCTCATCGCGAAGGCAGAGAATTCATTTGGAGATTCGCGGTTCAGGATGGCACGAATACTCCGCAGTGTTGCCAGGTCACGCGCTACTGTACACTCAGTGTACAGGACAAGGCAGTGACTAACTGAATAGTTAGGGAGGGTAAATTCGACACAAATCCTTAAGCATATTACGGTATTTAATTTCAGCCCAATAGGTCTTTGTAGGTATCCATGTGAAAAGAAATGTTTTCAGGGCAACATTTTTACTGTAGTTGGAATACATTGACTCACACCATGAAATTTTGTGCAGAAAAAGTTCTGGCAAAAAATGTCAAAATGTTTTAGCAAGTTTTCTGGCGAGACCTTGAAATTCTTTGAACAATTCAGGAGAATAGGAAAAATGAAATAGTTCTGCCTCTTCTCATATTTCATTTCATAAAAATTGAGAACAGAAACTCGTCAGGATTAATCTTATTTCATACTAATCCATTTACAATTAATTTGTTTATTGAGAACTATAGGAAAACACATCTGTTTGTAAGGTTCATAATTGTCTTTTTTGGGTGAGTTGAATCAAATTGAATCACGTATAATATACAACCTAGAGAGAAGTTGTGTTATACAAAAATGAATAAAATGCATTCATGAATGGATTACTTTCCTCATGCATGCTGGACCCATTGTATTTTACATTTCACCACCCTTGACTCATTTCCAGCATCATTGTCTTTGAATAAAGAGTAGATGGAATAAACCAGAAATTCATTCTAGTTAATTGACAACCTTCCATGCTTCCACATTCTCTAATTGAATGTTCTCTGCCATAAAACACTGGAAAATGAGTAACCCTTTCTATGAAAGCCAGAATCTACTTGAAAAAAAAAAACGTTTCTCAATTTGTATCCAGAACTGAAGAAAGTACAGCATTTTTATTCACCTTTAAATTTTTACTTTTTATGTTTTCCTTGAAAAGACTGTTATCCTAAATCGGCGAAAGAATAAAACTTCAGACACTTTCGTGCAGAAAGAAACGTCTCTCTTTCTTACGCGATTAATCTAAAACTTAGTTCCTTCCAAGATAACGTTCTGTCGAGAAGAATTCTAATTCTTTATGGCCGGGGCAAAGTAAATCTAGACTTCTCGGTAAAGTGAATACGTATATATTTCGTGAGCTTCTCCAACAAGAGTCAAACCAGCAATGAATGCTGACATATACACTTCGCGGTACCTTTATAGATGCGGATCGAGCCAGACGCGTCTGCGCAACTAGAACGGGGAAAACAGAAAGGGGACCGGGCAAATGACCGCAAACCAGACAGTGTATCGAGGACACGCAATGTCATCGTCTGCTTCGGGGCAGCGAGTTGCTATGCGGGAATTGCAACAGTAGAGAGCAGTATTATANCCATGCCTGATCCAGTGGATAACATTAGCCTGGACAGCTATCATACTGTGGGAGATTTAGTTTAGGCGCGCGTATTGTATGTATTTTCGCGCGACTTAGGATCTTGTTGTTGATAGGGGGACTTAAATAAAATGTTGTCTCCTGAATTGGTGTTGTCCCTTTTCCTTTTTTGTTTGTTCTTTTCTACAGCTTTCTTTCAGCAGCACATCAAGGCAATGCAACCAGTCTACAACAAAAACACTAAGCACAGGAGTAAAGCTAAAAACAAGTACACACCTGTAAAGCCTAACCACACATCTGCATAACCACAAAGGTACTTTAACTTCATGATGATAAAAGTCAACACAACATCACCTGTGGTATCCTTGTCAATACTCACACAATATAAGCAGATACATATATATATATATATCAATGATCTACATTCGAATCCAACAGAGACACACAGGGTATATGCAGTATAGTCTTAGGGTAAAAACCAAGAATAATTAGATATTAGGTGCTATCCTGCAAGGGAGTGAATGTTTTTTACTTGATAGCCATCAGACCAGTAGATGCACTAATTTGTAACCTAGGATACTGTGGGGCAGCTAGGACTTAAATAAAATGTTGTCTCCTGAATTGGTGTTGTCCCTTTTCCTTTTTTGTTTGTTCTTCTCCACAGCTTTCTTTCAGCAG